GGGTAAAATATGGTAAAATTCACCATCAATGTCGCCGGAAAAGTGGCTATGATAGAATCGCTGGTGATGAAAAAGCAAGCAATGGAACAACTAATGGCTATGTGCTTGGACGAATTGATCACAGTCACGGCCGGCGGTCTATGCTTGTTTCATCAGGTAGGTATCCCGTTGAAAGCTGACCAAACTGCATTGTTGATCTAGTTTTCAGACAGCAAAATCACGGCAAATGTCCAATTCTTAGATCTGATGTTTCATGGTTTCAAGACATCAGCCAAAAACAAACATATGACGACATCGTCAAAACCGGGAGCCCCAAATCTGCAAGCTAAAATGATTTGTTAAGAATGGCCAGTCCATCTGGGGGTGGCCCCAGAATTCTTGGCTGTTATCATATACCAGATCCATCTCGCAAGGTTACTCATCCACTTGGTGTTACCAATACGAATGTCACTTGGGATTATCCTCCCAAATGTCGGATGGAAATATTGGAAAATCAAAAATAGTTACAGCTATGAAACCACCAGTCACGGAATGTTCCATATCAGAACACACACACACACCAAAAAAAAAGCCTTGCCAAAACTCAAAAACACCACCGGTCCAAGTGACGTGATCGCTGCTACCACAAAAGGTGTTGCTGTACTTTACTATGCTGTGCATCTGGCCACCTTCACGAGACACAATTGGAGGATGGCCGTGTTGCGGCGGTTGAAATTGCTTGTAAAATCCGGAGAAATTGAAACCAATGGAAATCATGCGGTTTTACCATCTTCAGCCATTCTGATGTCCAAAAATCAATAAACTTGCCTAAAGTTCCGCTGAAAACAATGAAGAGATTGGAACTTTTGTTGCCCCCTCCGATATATAAATCAGCCTGATTGCAGCATAGAAATAGAGGTAGACCAGTGAATGGTTGGCGACAATCATGGGCCATTTTGAAGGATGAATAACTCTTCCCTCCAATGAAGATCTCTTCCAGGGGTACTTCCTACACATGCCTAAACCCCTATGTTTATGTACTGAACTTGGAAGGTCATATACAAATCTGGGATATTCCAACCGTGGCACATGAAACCAGAGGATATCCGATATGACTTTTCACTGGTCTCCGGCGTCCTTTGCAGGTGCAAGACCCTCGTTGATTCGTCGGGTTCCCAAACAGTGATGTTATTTTGCAAAAAAAAGAGCCGCACGACACCAAGGATCAACACTCTTCCAGACCTTTCACATTGATGTATGATACATTTATGATACATATCAACTGTTCAATGCCGCTCCTGTCCACTGTCCCTAACGGTTCCTAATTGTTCGTCGAGGTCTCGGATGTCTGCCTGGATGTTTGTAGCACATCATGGGTGACAGCCCAACATTGGCCATGGTTGGAAAGGTCACTTGGCAGAACTTGCCAATGACACAGGCCGTGCCATGCCACGTCCAGCGCTCGAAGAGCCTGGTCACGAAGTGCCCACGCAAGACCCGCCGTGGCACGGCACAGCGCTGGAGCCCCTGCAGGGCGCTTGGCAAAAGGCGGCTGAAGGCGGAGGTCACCAGCAAAATGCCTCGGTCTCCACTTGAGTGCTGAAGAAGCCCCTGAAGAAGCCCCTGAAGCCCCAGGATGTGTTTGGATGTGTGTGTGTGTGTATGTATATACACATATATATACATACATAGATCATATAGTATATATAAGCCAGACAAAAACGCCATCAACGGGGCTGAGTCCTAGGCATTGCAACAAGGAAAAAGAGTCGAATGCAGTATCCAATGGGGTTGTCTGAAAATGGGGCACACAATAAAAATCGATTCCGGTTGATCATTTTTTTGTCCACATTAAAGATGCAATGAAGAGGGGTATACCCACATCTTTTTGGGGTATGCCCACATTGATGCAATTTTTGGGGTATACCCACATATATATATATATATACCCACGGTTGATCATACTGCTACGCTATGAAAATGTGTAAACCCACATTGATGCGGATCACGTTTCCATGTCACTGGTCATGACCTCAACAAGAATTTTCACGGTCGAGTTTGTGCTTCGACAATCACTCGGCCGAGTTTGTTGTTGCGTTTTAACATTAGAATGGCAGCCCCCCAAGACAATGAAAAACATGAATTGAACTAGAATGTAGAATAAGTACTAATTGTGAAGTATTTGAGTCTGTACTGTATGTATGTTCTTATACATATGTACGCATCTATACGCATGTATGTAGATATCATGTTCCTTCTCAAGTCATCATCCCTAGGTTTGGATCACACCAAGCGACCAACCATAGCGGGAAAGACCAAGGCCCGCAGAAAGTACACGGTCACCACGTCCAGGAGGCCAACGCAGGGGACGCCCAAGAGCTCCGGGTTCAGCGTCATGACGTTCAACACGTTCGTCATGCCCAGCATCAAGGCTGGCCAGGACGTAGGTGCGGTGCTGATGACCAGCAGATTCCTGGGATGGCGTTTTACCATGGGTTTTACCATGGGTTTTTTGGGGATACCCTGGGTTCACACAACATTGAACTAGGCCCTTGTGATATGGGAAACCCCCAGTTCTGTTCGCAAAAAGGTAGGCAAGGGCGGCGCCTGGGACCACCGTAGGTGTGGAACTTTTGCAAGGCTCCGTGGCAGCTTCGACCACGCACTCAGGCCACAGCCCTCTGTTGCAGCTTCGACCAGGCACTCAGGCCACAGCCCCCTGTTGTTAAGGGCGTTCAAGCCTGCCGTTTGCCAAGCTTCAAACCCCTACACCCGTGCGTGGCAACTTCGACCAGGCACTCAGGCCACAGCCCTCTGTTGTTAAGGGCCTTCAAGCCTGCCGTTGCCCTCTGTTGTTAAGGGCGTTCAAGCCTGCCATTTGCCAGGCTTCAAACCCCTACAACCGTGCGTGGCAACTTCGACCAGGCACTCAGGCCACAGCCCTCTGTTGTTAAGGGCGTTCAAGCCTGCCGTTTGCTGGAAACCCCTTGTTCAAACCTGCCGTTTACCAGGCTCAGCCCTCTGTTCTTAAGGGCGTTCAAGACTGCCGTTTGCCAGACGTCAAACGCCTAAAACCCCTAAAACCCCTAAAACCCCTAAAATGCTCCGCAGCAGCTTCGACCAGGCACTCAGGCCACAGCCCTCTGTTGTTAAGGGCGTTCAAACCTGTCGTTTGCCAGGCTCAGCCCTCTGTTCTTAAGGGCGTTCAAGCCTGCCATTTGCCAGGCGTCAAACGCCTAAAACCCCTACAACGCTCCGCGGCAGCTTCGACCAGGCACTCTGGCCACAGCCCTCTGTTGTTAAGGGCGTTCAAGCCTGCCGTTTGCTGGAAACCTATTGTTACGGGCGTTCAAACCTGCCGTTTGCCAGGCTCAGCCCTCTGTTCTTAAGGGCGTTCAAGACTGCCGTTTGCCAGACGTCAAACGCCTAAAACCCCTAAAACCCCTAAAACCCCTAAAATGCTCCGCAGCAGCTTCGACCAGGCACTCAGGCCACAGCCCTCTGTTGTTAAGGGCGTTCAAACCTGTCGTTTGCCAGGCTCAGCCCTCTGTTCTTAAGGGCGTTCAAGCCTGCCATTTGCCAGGCGTCAAACGCCTAAAACCCCTACAACGCTCCGCGGCAGCTTCGACCAGGCACTCTGGCCACAGCCCTCTGTTGTTAAGGGCGTTCAAGCCTGCCGTTTGCTGGAAACCTAGTTAAGGGCGTTCAAACCCGCCGTTTGCCAGGCTCAGCCGTCTGTTCTTAAGCGCGTTCAAGACTGCCGTTTGCCAGGCGTCAAACGCCTAAAACCCCTAAAACCCCTAAAATGCTCCGCAGCAGCTTCGACCAAGCACTCAGGCGACAGCCCTCTGTTGTTAAGGGCGTTCAAACCTGTCGTTTGCCAGGCTCAGCCCTCTGTTCTTAAGGGCGTTCAAGCCTGCCTTTTGCCAGGCGTCAAACGCCTAAAACCCCTACAATGCTCCGCGGCAGCTTCGACCAGGCACTCTGGCCACAGCCCTCTGTTGTTAAGGGCGTTCAAGCCTGCCGTTTGCTGGAAATCTGGAAATCTATTGTTAAGCTGCCGTTTGCCAGGCTCAGCCCTCTGTTCTTAAGCGTATCAAGACTGCCGTTTGCCAGGCGTCAAACGCCTAAAACCCGTAAAACCCCTAAAACCCCTAAAATGCTCCGCAGCAGCTTCGACCAGGCACTCAGGCCACAGCCCTCTGTTGTTAGGGGCGTTCAAACCTGTCGTTTGCCAGGCTCAGCCCTCTGTTCTTAAGGGCATTCAAGCCTGCCGTTTGCCAGGCGTCAAACTCCCAAAACCCCTACAACGCTCCGCGGCAGCTTCGACCAGGCACTCAGGCCACAGCCCTCTGTTGTTAAGGGCGTTCAAGCTTGCCGTTTGCCAGGCTTCAAACCCCTACAACCGTGCGTGGCAACTTCGACCAGGCACTCCACAGCCCTCTGTTGTTAAGGGCGTTCAAACCTGTCGTTTGCCAGGCTCAGCCCTCGGGCCACAGCCCTCTGTTGTTAAGGGCGTTCAAGCCTGCCGTTTGCCAGGCTTCAAACCCCTACAACCGTGCGTGGCAACTTCGACCAGGCACTCAGGCCACAGCCCTCTGTTGTTAAGGGCTTGCCGTTGCCCTCTGTTGTTAAGTTTGCCAGGCTTCAAACCCCTACAACCGTGCGTGGCAACTTCGACCAGGCACTCAGGCCACAGCTCTCTGTTGCTTTGACGCCTGGCAAACGGCAGTCTTGAACGCCCTGAAGAACAGAGGGCTGAGCCTGGCAAACGGCAGGTTTGAACGCCCTTAACAAGGGGTTTCCGTGGCCTGAGTGTTTGGTCGAAGTTGCCAGGCACGGTTGTAGGGGTTTGAAGCCTGGCAAACGGCAGGCTTGAACGCCCTTAACAACAGAGGGCTGTGGCCTGAGTCCCTGGTCGAAGCTGCCGCGGAGCGTTTTAGGGATTTTTCGGGGTTTTAGGGGTTTTAGGGGTTTTAGGCGTTTGACGCCTGGCAAACGGCAGTCTTGAACGTCCTTAAGAACAGAGGGCTGAGCCTGGCAAACGGCAGGTTTGAACGCCCTTAACAAGGGAATTCCAGCAAACGGCAGGCTTGAACGCCTAAAACCCCTAAAACCCCTAAAATGCTCCGCAGCAGCTTCGACCAGGCACTCAGGCTACAGCCCTCTGTTGTTAAGGGCGTTCAAACCTGTCGTTTGCCAGGCTCAGCCCTCTGTTCTTAAGGGCGTTCAAGCCTGCCGTTTGCCAGGCGTCAAACGCCTAAAACCCCTACAACGCTCCGCGGCAGCTTCGACCAGGCACTCAGGCCACAGCCCTCTGTTGTTAAGGGCGTTCAAGTTTGTCGTTTGCTTGAAACCCCTTGTTAAGGGCGTTCGACCAGGCACTCAGGCCACAGCCCTCTGTTGTTGACGGCGTTCAAGCCTGCCGTTGCCCTCTGTTGTTATGGACGTTCAAGCCTGCCGTTTGCCAGGCTTCAAACCCCTACAACCGTGCGTGGCAACTTCGACCAGGCACTCAGGCCGCAGCCTTCTGTTGTTAAGGGCGTTCAAGCCCGCCGTTTGCTGGAAACCCCTTGTTAAGGGCGTTCAAACCTGCCGTTTGCCACGCTCAGCCCTCTGTTCTTAAGGGCGTTCAAACCTGCCGTTTGCCAGGCTCAGCCCTCTGTTCTTAAGCGTATCAAGACTGCCGTTTGCCAGGCGTCAAACGCCTAAAACCCGTAAAATCCCTAAAACCCCTAAAATGCTCCGCAGCAGCTTCGACCAGGCACTCAGGCCACAGCCCTCTGTTGTTAAGGGCGTTCAAACCTGTCGTTTGCCAGGCTCAGCCCTCTGTTCTTAATGGCGTTCAAGCCTGCCGTTTGCCAGGCGTCAAACGCCTAAAACCCCTACAACGCTCCGCGGCAGCTTCGACCAGGCATATTCCCGTTATTTACCCATGATTTCCTAAGGTGTTCCCAGTATTGGACCTATCCCTCAAACCTTGCCGCCTGCACAGGGTCCATGGTTGCGCTCGCAGGGTGTCGCTGGCGCTGCGGCGTTCGACTCAGGTCTATCGCAAAAGAGCGGTTCGCTTACCGTTTGAACATGTTTGAGCAGGATGCGGCAGGCAGGGTTACATAGGATGGAGTAGCACCATGCCAGACAAGCCTCTGCTAAAAGTCTAACCTCACCAAACCCCCTTTTTGGAGGGTCGGCGGCACCCGGGCGATAGCCCATTCTATATCCCCTGGTAAAATCACGTCAAAATGTCATCAAAACACCCAGTTTTGTACCAGTTGTACCCCCCAAAATCTCCAAGTAAACGGGCGTTTAAAATCCCATGAAACCCCCGCGCAAGTCAGCTCTGGAACATCCCCCAGTTCCAAAAATTCCCTTTTTAGTTGCGCAAGTTTCTGCACCAGATTCACCAGCAAGCCCAGGATTGAGGCAGTGATGCCCCCCAGCTGCGTCTTGGGGCTGTAGGGCTGGGTCAGCGAGACGTAGGCCGGGAAGATACCTGAGCCACCCTCCGATGCGGCAGAATCTCCAGTTTCCTATGGTGATTTCTACGGTTGGTGGCACCCCAAGTGGTGGTTTCAGCGGCGAAAATTGGGATTTTATGGGATTTATAGCTGATTTATGAGAGCTGGGTTGGTGAACATAACTCCAATAACTATGTTTTTGGTAGCTATATCTATGGTTAATAGGGCTTGTAGACCAATTATACTTGGGGGCACATTAAAGATGGGACTGTACTTACAACTCCATTAGATGAGATGGGATTATACTGACTTATAAATCCAAAAACTGTATGTGATAATTAAATGGAATTAAGGGGGAATATAAGTATAGAGATAATTCATAACCACCATTAACCAAAGTTGAAAAAGGGGTTATACTTAGTCAATGTGTGCTAGAAGTAATAAGTATGATCCCACCCCCCATTCTATGCTCCGCTAGTAGTGTGTAGATCCCCTACTAAACCCTTGTTTCTGGGAGGTGCTCTACATCAAGGGGAAGGGATGAGCTCATGGTTGTACACCTATCGTTATTAAATGTTCTGAACCTCTGGTTATCTTTTCGTCCATAACCAGCTGTTAGACTCAAGAGTCAGGGCAGCGGCCATGAATTTGACTGATTTTTTCACTCTGCCAAACATGTTGAAACCTGATGTATAGCTATGAACCAAAGCTGTGCTACCCTTTTCACATCAAAATAGCTGGTAAAATTCATCCACCTAAATATGGTGTAATAGGTCTTGCCCCTTCCCCACATATCACCAGCAGTACATGATATGATGGCATCTGGAAAACCACATGGTGGTGTAGTTCCCAAGAAAATCAGGCTTTGCCTCCACTAAATGGTCTAATTCATCATGAATGTTGACATAAAACGGGATAGACTTATATATATATAGTGGGGATCAAACCGACCATTTTATGGGGATATAAAGGGAACCAAATGGGATACGCCAGAAAGTCAACAGAAAGATATGTTGCATCATTGGAAAATTATGGTTGCTTCAAGTTGCTTCCCCGCATTTTCCGCTCTGCGAATAGCGTTTTTTTCATATGATATATGTTTATTGGGGAGTGAAAATGGGCTGCGAGTTCGCAGCCAAAACCATGGGGATGATCGATTCATCAGGCCATGACAATCCCATCAACCAACCTGGCCAGGCAGGGCCGATGAATAATTCCAATATATTCTATATAATACCAGGATATATCAAGGATATAATACCAATAATTCCAATTTTGTTTGGGCCATGTCCAATACTCATCAGGATATCTCAAGATTTTCTTTCTGGCCGCCCAAACACCGAGGAAGGATCAACCCAACACCTTTTTTTCAACGGTCACTGAAAAACCAAACCCAAGGTGCCTAGAAAGAGCAAAATTCCAACACCGATCCTTAGAAGTGCTGCTGCCCTCCAGGTTTGTAGAATCGGGTGGATGTGGACCAAGTGTGGGGGCCCCGATTTCTGAATTAATGTCGTAAGGGCTGGGATTAGTTGAACGAAACACAGCAACCCACCATAATCAAGCAGCTATAACATAGGAACGGTATATGACCCACAAACATGGCCACCCAGCCATTGTGAAGGACCTAATTACAGCATCGATCAGCTGCTGGGATCTGGCTATGGCGGCTATGCTGTAGGTCCCGTCCCGGCTATGGTGAATCACCCGGTTGGGTGACCGTAGGTTGGGTGAGTTCCACCAGCTTTGAGAACTCTGGTTATTTCGGTACCCTCTGGTAATGACTAACATAGCTATTGAAAATGACCATAGAAATAGTGGATTTTCCAATTAAACATGGTGATTTTCCATAGTTATGTAAACGTTTACCAGAGGGTATCCCCAAGATTTCCTCACAAAACGTTTTCTTGTTCACCTTTGAACAAACGCGAATTTGATGAAAAACAAACAACAAGAATTGCCCTCGTTCCCATCGAAAACAGCATCACATCACCTTTATTGAAACAAACCCAGAATCGCAGGCTATAACCAAGGGTACTACTACTAGTAGTGCTTCATTTCCCCCTATAGATTCAGTAACGCTGAAATAGAAAATCAAAAACATCACATGGGACTTTAAAAAAATAAATACATCACATTTCAACAAATCAACCCAAACCAACCAGCAATTTCGAAGATCTTCCAACATCACAACCATTTCGCATCCAAGGGTCATCCACAGGGCCTGGTTGCCTTCCGCACATTGCGCGCAGCGCCCCTCCAGCGATGCAAAGGTCCCCCTGGGGCATTCGGCACAGGTGAACCCCACGCGGCCATTGGAACAACTTCCAGGAGAACCACCTGGCGAAGGGCCAAGGTTGGATCATTTAGCTATGAGGAGGCGAATTTTCGAGTTGGTTGCGAGGCTTGTTTTTTTTGGGTCATACATTGACTACTAGACATTTGAGAAAGTCGTCTTATTGATGCACTTGGAAAAATACTCCACGAAGTTCTGTACCGAGCCATTGAACTCTGAACTCCGCACTTGACCACCATTGAAAAAAGATGAAAAATGAATGTTTCAAACCACAGAAAAAACTATATAAATCTTAGCTGGCGACATCCCGCATTTGGAGAGTAAGACATACCTTCTATCACCTAAAGCCTGGATTGTACAGGCACCAACCACCCGGGATTTTCGGCATTGCCATTTGTTGCGTCACTGGGTAACACCTCTTAACAAAGACCAATTTGGATGAAATTTGGATGATCACTTGTGTTTCTCTATGACTTAGGAAATACCCCCCACATCTACCCCATGTTTACTGACCAAATCTCTCCAAATCCCTCCACATACATACATACATACATACATACATACATACATACATACACACATACACACATACATGCATACATACATACATACATTACATTACATTACATTACATTACATTACATTACATTACATTACATTACATTACATTACATTACATACATACATTACATTACATACATACATTACATTACATACATACATTACACATACATACATACATACATACATACATTACATACATACATTACATACATACATTACATACATACATTACATACATTACATACATACATTACATACATACATTACATACATACATTACATACATACATTACATACATACATACATACATACATACATACATACATACATACATACATACATACATACTACATACATACTACATACATACATACATACATACATACATACATACATACATACATACATACATACATACATACATACATACATACATACATACATACATACATACATACATACATACATACATACATACATACATCTACATACATACATACATACATCTACATACATACATACATACATACATACATACATACATACATACATACATACATACATACATACATACATACATACATACATACATACATCTACATACATACATACATCTATATACATACATACATACATCTATATACATACATACATACATCTATATACATACATACATACATCTATATACATACATACATCTACATACATACATACATCTATATACATACATACATCTACATACATACATACATACATACATACATTGCATTACATTACATTACGTTACGTTACATTACATTACATTACATTACATACATACATACATACATAGAAATCACCATTTTTACTGTCTAAATCCCTTCTGCTTGATGCTTAAACCACAGCCACAGCACCTGGACAATGGTCTCGGCATTGATAAATGGTCAACGGAGCACCGGGATGACTGTTGTATCCTGCAGAGGCAGCGGTCGGGGTTGGATGTCGCTTCTGTGGCCCCTTGGTGGGCTGACTTTGAACACAAATATGGGGATTTCACCAAGAACTTCATGGTGATTTAGTAAGATTTGCGTATTACATGAATATATACCAATCATCTTTAGTGTGCCTGAAAATGGGCGAGTGGATGGAATTGGTTATTTTCAGACAAAGCTATATATGAGTAACCGACAAGATTATTGGAAGACTAGAGTAGCAAGGAATGCTTTTTTTGACATTCCGCCCGTTTTAGCCACATCCATCAGTCATTGCAAATGGGAAAAAATCTCAATCACAATATAGTTGTATTTTGTACCCAAGGCTTCAGATCATGTACCTGCTCAGGTGAAGCAGCAGAGAATCTGTACTCAGACATGCAACAAACATGAGCAGCATGAAAAATCTTGCAAGATGCCCATAAAATGCTGATTAAGGGTTGCCACAAACTGTGCCATGACAAATACTACCTGTTTCAGAGCCAGTCCAAAAAGTGCCCAGAATGGGATTTTTTCCAGATGCAATGCGATTAATGTTGTCGCTTTCTAGGGCGGCCCTTTATTAGGTTTGCTACTTCAGGATTGACCATATGTTATTAAATCAAATCAATGGTTATCACCATGATCTTGTATATAATACACTATCTTCAGCGGCCCAATCATCCAAGGATATGGGTACAAAATTGGGCCCAACGCTGGTGTTTTACACTATTTCCGAAAGATTCTTTGATTCTCACAACTGGGCATTTCTCTATGTTACCCAAGCGTTTTTTTGCTTGGGATCATGCAAATAGGGTACGCCAAAAACATCTCGGACCTTCCATCATTTTCCCAATCAAAATTGCCTAAAACTGGGGTATTGGTATCCCGATTTGAAGATACCCCCAATTCAATCCCAGCATCCTTGCAGAAGAAACGGACCTTGCACATCAGCATCGCTTTCGTTGACTGGTAGCGTGGCGATCAGCAGCCCTTCAACGGTGCTGCCAATGGGGCAAGAGAGGCCCTCGATGCAAGGAACGCATTGCCCGTCCATTTCCTCCGATTGTCTGAGATGGCTGACCCCCAGATGGACATTTTAATAAAAGGTTCTAAACCAGTGGATGGAAAGGGGTACCCTTTTTTCCAGATCTGTGTGTTAATGAAACACCCTGTGCTTTCTTCAAACCATGTGTCGGTTTTCCCTCCAGAAACTACAAACCACGCAAATAATGAATCACCGCCACTTGCCGCCACCACCATCACCACCACCAACAAGAACGACAACAACCACAACAAACAACAGCAAGAGTAGAATGAACATAGAGAGAGATAAGGCAGGTACAGCCTCAGAGAGAGAGAGAGAGAGAGACCAACAACAAACAACAATGATTCTCTCAGCGCGGCAAGGCTAGCAGCAGCAAGATTGGCACAAGAGCCCAGCCTCACTCCTTTAGACCTAAGGCGGGCTCCAGCCTACAATCTCCGGGTTAAGCCTTGCGCCCTACCAACTGAGCTAGCCGGACCCTGCATCAAGGCCATGCTCAGCGGATCTGGAAACAGAGGCCGGATATCAATACAACAAGTGCCACACAGAGAGCAACGGCCACGAGCAAAAGAATGAACAGAGAGAGGTAACCCAGGCACAGCCTCTCTGCGCGGCAAGGCTTTCAAAAAGGCGGCTCCGGAAACAGCAGAGATGGCACCAGTGGCCAGCCCATTTTTGGAGGATCCAGGCCGCTGACGGGACAAAAAGGGGTCCAGCAGCAGGAAAAGGAAACAAGTCTGCAGTCAGGTTGCGGGGGACCCGGGCCGCTGACGCGACAAAAAGAGGTCCAGCAGCAGGAAAAGGAAGCAAGTCTGAAGTCAGGTTGCGGGGGACCCCCTTTTTGGAGGATCCAAGCCGCTGACGGGGTCCAGCAGCAGAAAAATGAAACGTCGGATCATGCAAATCGCCCTTTTTTGACGAAATTGGGCCGCTGAGTGATCTAAAAGGGGCCCAGCAGTTGGCAAAAAGAACGCGTCTGCAAGCCAATCCTAGGAAATACGCGGCCAGACCCCTTTTGAAGGATTGCAGCCCTTTGGGGGCCAAAAAGGGGTCCATCAGCTAGAAAAATCATAGTGATCAAAAGCAACCCTGCCAGACCCCTTTTTGCAAGATTTCGGCTGCTGAGCGGTCAAAAAGGTGCCCAGGAAGCTTTAACCAAAAACAACAACGGAGGAAAAAGTCTACACCAAAGTTCTTTTTCAAAACGGTGGAAAACTCCATAGACGCCCTTAAGGAACACCAAGCAAATTCCAAAATAAGCTCGGGTAGCTTGTTTTCAGGGCCCCCGTCTTTGTTTGCACCAACAACAACAACAACAACAACAACAACAACAACAACAACAACAACAACAACAACAACAACAACAACAACACCAACAGCAACAACAACAACAACAACAACAACAACCAAAAAAAACAACAACCAAAAAAACAAAAACAAACCAACAACAACAAACCAACAACAACAACAACAACAACAACAACAACAACAACAACAACAACAACAACAACAACAACAACAAACCAACAACAACAAACCAACAACAACAAACCAACAACCACAATCACAACCACAGCCACCACCACCACCACCACCACAACCACACCCACAACAACCACAACAACCACAACAACCACAACCACCACCACCACCAGGAGCAAGGACAAACGCCAGACTCTCTGTGGGTCTCGCTATATGCAGCCTTCATGCATCTGCACTTGCGAAAGGGCTCCATCTGAGCGCTCCATGTGGGATTCACCCTGGCCATAAACAACTACCATTGGGGGATGGTTTGGGGTGAATCCCACAGATATTTTGGCTGAAACCAAGGCTATCCCTGGATCCCTCATTCCAATCCATCCCAATATACCCATCGTGCCCCATCGCAATGTATCTCCCTATGGCGTTTCACGCTTCACCGAAGAGATCAGGAACCATCCTTGGTTCACCCACTTATCCATATATAGGATATTATATATATATATTATTTATCATCAATATAGTTATATATATAATATGTAATTATAGTTATAGGCTATCACCAGTCATGGGAAAATCGTGACCCATTAACTACGTCCGTTGAAATCCAAGATTATCCACCAAGTTTCAATCAACCCGGCTTTGCAAACCTCGGTGACTCAGTAAATATCACCATTTAAGATGATTGCCATGATGGAAAAACCAAGACTGGCCCAAAAACACCCACAAGTTCAAAACCATTTGGGAAAGAAAACATTTTGGTTGAATGGGATTTCAATATTGTAACATATGTAACATGTCAATATCACTACTAAAACTGAAACACGAAGTCTTTTTTCCACCGAGACACACATTCCGCCAGTGACTCCGCTCCAAGTCCAACAGTCGTACGCTTCTCAGGACAAGTCTTGCAGAGACTCTGTCCAGTGACATTCTGATAGCTGCCAACTGTACAGCGCTTGCAGCTTGCAGCCCCAAAGTCCTGACAGCTGGTTTTAGATGCCCATGTTCTTTTTTTCGTCTGGTAAATGGTGAGTTTTGCCAGGGATGTGTGGAGATTGATGATGTTTACCATGGATGTAGAGATGTGTCCCCTTAAATTTCAATTAAAGCCAGTTTTCTGTTCACTTCGAACACCTTCTCAGAATCCAGCAGTTTCATCGCATTGTACTGGCGGGGTTCCCAGTTCATAGGTCATAGAGATCCACAGTTCAATGACGACTACAGCTAGTATAGCCCAGTATAGCCCAAACAAAAACACATCTCACTCGTTACTTTGGTTTCCTCGAGAAAAATCTTCTGATATGTAAATCAAAAAGTGGTCAACTGGTCAAAGTGAATCAACCCCAATGGCCCAACCATCCCCAGGCATTCAAATATCATCAATTGCACATCATCCAATCATCCCCTTCAATGATAACTGGAACCGGATCCCTCGGTTTTCAACGCCGTTCGCCTCCTGATGTTCTCCCAAGGGGCACGGCTCACAGGCCGTGGACGCGCCGGAACTCTGGACGGAGCCCGGAGCGCAGGAAAGGCAAACGGAGGTGAGGCCCTTGCCATCCCGCAGGGGCCTGGAAAAGGAGCCCGAAGGGCAGGCCTCCGGAGACGCTGGAGACGCTGGAGACTGTCGCCACTGGCGACCCAGGCCACTGGACGACTTCTTTGTTGGTGGGTGAGTCTCAGGGTCAGACTCTTAGTTATCCAAGTTTTGACCATGGCACATGTGGGATTGTCTCTGGAACCTCGAAATCCTAAGGTTTGCATTCCTTGCAATCGAATTTTCCCCACCTGGCCATGGCCATAAAAAGGCATAAGCGACCATGACATGATTTTTTCCCATGGGATCGCTTCTACCAGCCCAACAGCCCAGCCTTGCAGATCAAACTGCTGCTATCACCTTCTCGAGACTCAACGAAAACTTCCTCAGCTGAGACGAAGAGCCACTGGGAGAAAGGCTGTGACTTTGACATCGACATCACATGACTTGAAATAGAAAGATCTTTGGGGGTCCAAAACAGGGACTTCAAGGGTCATGATGAAACTATCCTTCAGTTTCCGGATTTCGCTGGATGATCTTAAAATGTCGTGAAAACATGATGGGAGGATTGAATCGTTGGCATCGAAGAAAAAAACCATGCGGCTTGCCTCCAAATGGGATCATACACCACCATTGAAAAAAAAAACGGGAAAATGCTGATTCCAGAAAACCCAAAAATTGCGACAAATCCGGAAAGTCATCTTCAAAGCCAAGGGATACCAGAGACCAACAATCTACTGGTTTACCAGTTTACCAATGTGGCAATGGAAGAATGCTTAGAGAATGCCCCATTCAATTATAGATGATTATCCTATTCAAACTCCCATGTATAGAGGATTTTCCAGCCACGTTTGATTACCAGAGGGTACATCCCCATTCATATCCCATTATATCCTAGTTATGGTTGATTCTAGATCCCAGTTATCCATAATTATTCTGCTGTTGGTGATTCTATCACTAGCAAATCCCATTAGTCACCACTAATCACTACTATTACCACTTTTGTCCACTAATCATTTAAAGGTGATCTTGAATAACCTCAAGGACTGTGACATTTCCCAGTTCGAGATCTCTCGGGTGCCCAGGTTCTGTCGCTTTGTTGAAGAGTCCAAACTGCGGGAAACATTTCGTGGTGTCAGGCAGCCACTCCTGCGATGGGCAAGTCCTTGGCTACCTCCAAAATGGAAAGTCATTTCCAATATCAATATAAACCATTATATATATATATATATATATTTATACGTATATGCATGCTGAACGGAGAATATGCAACTCGCTATTTTAGCAGCGGTGTTCTTGAGCCAAAGGTTGGCGTAGCAACTAGTGAGAACCCTATATCCCGTCACCCCTCCTGTACAGAGGCTGGGATTTTCCTAAGCTGATGTACACTCATTCCAAAGCCTTTGCAGCTTCGGCTCTACCATGAGAGTACTCGAACCCCATGCTTTGCATGTGTCTTTCCATCTCATTCGCAGGTAAACCTTTGGTGCACAAATCAGCTACGTTCTGCTTTGTCGGGATCTTCACCAGTTCGAATTCATGTAGTGCAAGCTTTTCTTGCACCCACAGAAAGCGAGTTTGAACATGCCGTGAGCGGCCTAAGCCCTGACGGTTACATGTTCCCAGCGCAGCGGATGAATCTGTGTGCACTTTAAGTTTTGGTTGTAGGCCCCATCCTCGCAAGATCTCCTGTAGCGACATTCCGATGGAAACTCCTCGAACGATCGAGTAGTATTCCGCTTCACCGGAACTCAAGCTGATCGTGCTCTGAAGAGTGCTCGAGGCCTTCACCGTGTGGCGGCCAAAGGTTGCCACAAGTCCACTTGTTGAGCGCCTTGTAAGAAGACACCCAGCGAAGTCGGAGTCCACGTACATGTGGATCGTGTCAGCAAACTTCTGGCGACCAAACTTCAAAAGTACACGTGGTTTCCCTTTCAGAAATCTCACCAAGCGTTTCAGATCCTGAAAGTCAGATTCTTTGGGCTCATGCATTCTTCTTGATAGGCATTTCACTGCCTCCGCGATGTCAGGTCTGTCCTGTGCCACATACGACGCTCTCATCACCAGAGACCGGAAGAAACTTACACGGTCCGGTGTGATGGTCGGGGTGGTCAACTTCAAGTTGGCCTCCGTGGCTGACATTTTCTCAGATGGTGTCTTGACTGGCTTACAGTTTTCCATTTCTAGATCTCGTACCATCTGGTCAACGTGGCGGGGATCCGCCTCATAGGATACAGAGCCTTCCTGCTCGTTGTAGGTCACGATTCGATTGAGCACTGCGAACTGCTGATGCCGTTCTCCAGGACCGATCGATCCATCGACCCGCAGATCATATTTGGACCTCAAGGTGTCCTCAAGGTATTTCTGTCCAGCATCATCAGCAAGCACCACGAAGTCATCTCCGTGTACAAGAACTCGAATACCACCGTAACCTTCATGGTAAAAGCAGGATGGCCAAGCTTGATTCTTGGCAAAACCAGCTCGGATGAGAAGTTCTGTATATGATCTTTGCCAGATCGCTGATGCATCGCGTGTTCCATACATGCTCTTAACGAGCTTGCCACAAAACCCTTCTTGTCGATCTCCTTCAGGTAACTGCACGAAGATATCACGCTCTGCCTCTCCATAGAAGTGAGCGCGTGATATGTCAAGAAGACGAACTTTCAGTGCATTGCCAGACTTGGATCGTCTCAAAGTCACCATAAGCGATAGAAGCAATTTCAGCGATTCCAAAGGCGGCATCGAACTGAAGGACGCATAGTCCGGAATGAAGTCAGCATTGCTGGCCCGTTTGATCTCTCTACAGACCAGACGTGACCTGTAGTTGGGGTGTGTTGCATCCCCTTTGTTTCTGTCAATCCATTTCATGGTGATGACCGGTTTTCCAGACTGTTGGGCTTCTGTGAGTGGAACTTTGATATAGATACCCTGTTTGTGTACCCATGCTAGTTCTTCTTGTCGAGCAGCTCTGACCTTGTCAACATCCAAGACAGCACCGGAGTGTGCGTCAAGCACTGGCTCCACGATGGTGTCATCGCTGTCGGGCAGCTGCTTCCAAAACTCCTCCTCTTCATTGATCACAGGTCCAGCATCGGGTACTGGGCCATGTGAAAGTGAGTGTAGTTCTCCATCACATTCCAGTTGGCGCCTAATGGCCTTGAGAATTGCGTGGACAAGCTTTGGTGGGTATTTCTGGGCAGCTCGGGCTCGTCCATCAACAAGATGTACATGGCGGTGCCAAACTTTGCCTTCTTTGTTTGAACAGCACCCTTGTAGGGTCTGTGCCAGGATTGGAGAGTTCGTGAGCCAGGTAGTTTCTTTCTTCACTGACCCTTCACCTTGGCCATCGGCGGCCTTCATTCCCCAACGGCACATTGGTCCAGTGACCTCATACACCCGTTCATCTGCCCTCAGTCTCTTCACAGCTCTCTCTTCCCACGAAGCGGCCCCTTTAGGGTGCTCATGGTAGAAGTACCTTCCAGCATTCATTTGATGCTCATACGCTGAAACTGCCGTGCGCAGATGTTTGCGACCATCTTTTAGTCTCTGCGCTCGAACTTCAGGTGAAACATTGCCCTTCGCATCCACAATGTTTTGCAGCTTCGAGAATGGCCCACAGGGAGGTGAGCCGCCGAGGAACTCTGGTTTCTCATAGTCAAGCAGTTGAAACAGATCACGAATGTGTTCATCTTTACTCAAGTCCCAGTGAGTTCCATCACCACGCTTTGTCTCCAAGTCAATCGAGAAGCCAGGTGCTAGCCCGACCACTTGGGCTTGTGCAGCCACACGCGGTGGAGAGAAGATCTCAGCAACCTTCCCTTTTGCGATCACATCTTTGAGCAAGGAACACAGATGTAGCATCTCCTGGTTTGTCTCAGGACTTGTTGGTGCAGCGGCAGCACCTTCCGGAACACCAGATGAAGCATCCGGTGCCGGTGGTCCGGCTGACCCTGAAGCCTGAGCTGAAGATTCATTGTAAAGATCTTCAACGTCGACTTGTGAACTCCTTTTCTCTCCTCGGGATTGTTCTTGTTTCTGCCTCTTTGGGCTTCCTTCTCTTTCTTGTTCTCTCTGTCTGAGTTCTCCACGAAAATCGGTGTCGACCAGTGGTTCACCAACAGCCTCACTTGCATCCATTTCCGCATCCAAAGGAACACGGTCTTGCAAGACTGGTTGTTCAACTTCCCCTCCTGGGACAACTGGTGGTGCAGCTTCACCACCTTCTGCCCCACCACCCTCAGGCGGTGCAGCCGCGCCTCTTGGGCGCCTGCCTTGTGCAACTCTCTCTCTCGCTCTTTTGATCCTTTCTTGACCTTCTGGAGTCTTGTCAAGTTCGATCTGGATTCTTTGTCTGCACTCAGCATTGTGAGCTCGGCTTGGCATCTCAAGTATTGCTGCTTCACATCCAGGACACAAAGGTGTGTGCCCATGCTTTTCCAAGTCATTCTTGGTGACATAGAGGTTCCTTGGGATCACTTCTTGCACTGCAGGCCTTTCACGAGGCGCTGCAACATCGGGAAGGGCGATCCTCAGTCCACCATGTTCTCGTTCTTGCAACCTCCAAGGAAGGCCACGTAGCGAGTCAAACTGATCATGTTTGAACTGATCGTCAGGTGGGCGTCGATGGATCGAGTTCCCCTTCATGATTCCACGTTCCGTCATGACAAAGACGTCTGAATTTCTGTTTCCAGTTCCAACGTACATCCCAATGGATACCCTTGGAGCAAGGTCATTTCTCTTGCCCCCACGATTGGCCCTCGGCCTATACAGGATGCTTTCACCGAACCTCACAAGCGGAATCCGCCATTTTCGTCCATAGGTCCGCTCAAAAGCGGTCTTTCCATCAGTACCTACTCGGTATCTCGTCAAGAGAAAGGCAGCATGCCGCGGGAGCCAAACCAAAAGTGGATGGCCCGGATCTACCTTCCTTTCCAGCTTGAACTCCAGGTCGCTGAGGAGAGCACGACATTGTCGTTTTATCTCTCGCACTCCCACTTCGATAAACCCATTGGCTTGATGGTCTTCTACTGGGGTTTCCACCAAGTGCACTTCGATGTGGGTCTTTATCTCCTTAACCTTCTGTTTAAGGGATACCAAGGAGGGTTCACCGTCAGACTTAAGGATTACCTTATTAAAACCAGCATCATCCAAAACTCCCCCAAGCCACGCGATTGCGAACGCATCCGCCCCTTTTCCCGGGAGAACGCTCGCCCAAAATCTCTTGGTCTTGTGGCACTTCGCCACAATGCTCGGAAGGGTCGCCTCATCCGCAACCTGGTCCTGGTTCATATAGAAGTAGTCCAGGCTCAGCGTGGGCAACTGCGTTTCTGGCTCATCAAGTTCCTTAGGCACATGGCGATCAGCAGTCACACGTGCCCTTTTGCAGTGCAAGCACCAGCTCCGATGGACAACATGTCCAGTGCTTTCATGTTCGTCAACTTCAGCTTGGGATGGTTGATGTGGTTCTTTCTTCACAATGGCTTTCCTCTGTTCTTCACCGATTTCCAAATCAACTTCATCTTCAAAGGCATCTGCTCCGGCTGAAGCAGCTGGAACATCGCCTGAGGACCCTGCTCCGGCCGAAGCGGCTGAAACATCGCCTCCATCTTCCATGGCATCGGCTCCGGCTGAAACAGCTGGATCCTCGCCAACAGCGTTGATTTGTGGTCTTACTCCTCTTGAGGATGCCCCTGAAAAGGTGACACCCAATAGTCCAACACATAGATGCCTCGGCGATTGTGCACAATGGGCATTGAATCGCCATAATCTCGGATCAGATCTTTCATGGCCTTCGAATAGGCCCGTCCCGCAGGAGTGTTTCTTGGGATCAATCTCCCCGAAGATGGTCCAAGGGCGATGTGGTAGTTCTTGGCGATCTCGGAACCTGAAAGAAGTGGCCGATGCACATCTGCAACTCGGCAATCGATTGGGATCTTGTTGCCAGATTCGTCGTATCCCACCAGCTTCACACTTCCCTGATCTTCGATGGGTTCCGCATTGGCTGCCTTGTAGCTTGCTCCATTGGACTCGCTCCTCGGGTAGTCCTTGGCGAAGTCAAGTGGTACTGCAGTGATGGCAGCACCGGTGTCGATGTTCAACTCTGCTCGTTCCCATTTTCGCCAGTCGTCAGAGGCCCCCAAGCTGTAGACTGCAGCAGGAGCCGATCCAGCTCCACCATCGGGGTCTCCTCTGCCTGGTCGGTCTCGAGGCTCATCAGGCTCTTCGATGTAGACCTCTTCCATTTCATCATCATCTTCATCTGCGTTCACTTCAGTGTTTTCCTTCAGAACCAAGGCTGGTCGGTTCTTCCTCGCCATCTTGCGCGCCACATTGCGGTTGCGATTCTTCTTCACCCTGTACCCAACGCTTCGAACACGCTTGGTCATGGGTTTCTTCTTGGGGTCCTTCTGCAGCAACTTGGCCTCGTCGTCCGGGAACTGCCTCAAGGTTTTCCGCTCTTCCGCTGAAAACTCTATCACTGTGCTCTGACCAGCTTTGCCCACAACCACCGTCTCGATGCCCGCATCCAAGTTGTCTTCATCCTCGATTCTCACTATGCCTTCTGGATTTTCTGGGTTGTCAAAGCGTTCATGCCATTCTTTGTCAAGTCGAATCCTTTCAGCCGCACGTGCCTTGACTCCTCCTCGTCGGTGGACGATTGCACGTCTTCTCAAACGTTCATTTCTCCAGGCCACATTGTGTGCAACACCTTTGGCAATCTCGGCATGGTATCTCGAGTCGTGGAAAGAAGGATCGCTGATGTTCTGCTTTGTGATGTGCGGTGCCTTGACAGATCTAGTCCTCAAAGCCGCTAACATCGCATCTGCCTGGCCATCTCCTGAACCAGGATCTTCTTCTTGGACTTTGCGGATTTGTGAACTCAGCGCAGCCTTCAGCATCTGGACAAGTCGAGAACCTGAAGTCGAAGCTGCCGATGATGCCTTGACAGGTGGTGGTGGCTTCACCTGAGAGCTTTGCCATCCCGGTGGTGGACATGGCGGAGTCTTGGGTGAAGCTACTTGGCTTTGCCATCCTGGTGGTGGTCCTGGTGGAGTCTTGGGCGAGGCTATCGGCTGTTGTGGAGGTGATGCAGGCCATGCTATAGGTGTCGGTGGTGTCTTTGGCAAAGGTGTAGAGCTACGAAGAAGTTCTTCTGGAGTCTGTGGCCCATGCCTCAACCTTCTCCTTGGTGGTGGTGTCATCGAAGTCATTCGAAAGCGTCGGAGTGCTGACTCCGGAGTGACTGGCCCTGATCTGCTTGCTTTGCCTCTCTTTGGTGCTGAGCTCTTTGGACTTCTGCCCCTCTTGGGTCTTCCCTGTGGCGTTCGAGGTGCCTTGGAAGACGCGGACTTGGATGTAGTGGTCTCGTGCTCGGTGACCTCCTCCAGTCGAAGCGACCGAAGGGGTCTTGAGCCACTCGATCCACTCGGTCCATCATAGTCGGGGTCGTCCCACTCTTCAGGCCATGACGCACGTGGGTGAGGCAAAGAAAACCACCTTCTGCGACTTGTCGAGGCTTCCGACTCCTCGGACTCGGGATCGACCTGGAAACTTTCGTCGTCATCCTCGTCATGTGGTGGCCCATCAACACCATAGAGCGTTAAACCATTTGCTGCTTGTTGATCATCGTCGCCATCAGCTGCGTCCCAGTCTTCTGCTTCTGGTTCACCTTGTTCGACATTGTTCACAGATTTGCCTCCTTTGGGCTTCTGCTTGTGCTTTCCGGGGCTGCCTTTGCCCTTGCCCTTGTCCTTATTCTGATTGCTGTTGCCTTTGCCACCCGTCCCCTTATGTTTGGGGCCTCCAGGTGCCCAGCAATCTGCCCGCAGATGTCCTGGGCGTCCGCAGTTGTGACATGTTCTCTTCTCAGCTGTTGCATTTCCCTTTCCAGGTTTTCCTCCAGCTCCCTTCTTGCCCTTACCTTTTCCCTTTGCATCTTTTCCAAAGCTTCCGACATCCATAGGATCGTCCCCACGGCCATGTGCGTCGTAGGGCTGGCTGTTCACCACCTTGATCTTGTTGCCGGTGGCATGTTCCACATAGGACTGGATCTCGGACAGCATGGACTCGAACGTTTTGAAGCGATCTCGATTGAGAACGAGATGACGCTCGAGCTCTGCCGGCACCAATCGTTCAATCACGTTGATCTTGATGTCTTCTGCCAACATCGTTCGGTTGCCAGATGCGTCTTTGCGACGTTCATAAAGTCTGATGCTGTCAAGAAGCTTCTCCAGGTTGGACGGCAAATCTTCCATCTTGGATCGAGCCGGTGACAAGATTGCATTGAGGAGAGCGCTTTTGCGACCACCAGTGGATGGGTCGTACCTCCGCGTGAGCTTTCTCCAGCTTTCGATGCCGCATTCCCCGGTGTTCAGCACGATGTCAAAGGGCTCACGCTCTGTCAGCATTAGCAGCGCGTCCCAAAGCTCGCGTCTCAATTCACTGATGTTCGACACCTGGTCAATGGCATCTGCTTGACTCCCAAAAGCCTTGTCGATGTCATCTGCAGTGATTGCATGATCGCAATCTTCGGCCCAAACCAGAATCTCACGAAGGTCTTTGCGAACACTTGCAAGATAGGAGGACGTCTTGATTTTCCATGACAAGAATCTTTCGGCTGTCCCATCAAACTTGTCGGGCTTGCCAAGGCCCTTGTTGTCGACCAACCGGACTTGTTCTTTCGATCTAAGGGCGTCCACAAGCTCCTTTTGTGACTGCACCAACTGTGCCAGTGCACTGCCAGGTCCAGCTGAAGCAGCCGAACCGGCACCAAAAGAAGCGACCTGTGCTGTCAGTTCAGCTTCTCGGCCTCTTAGTCGATTGACCTCGGTCTGTAGTTCCTGGAGCGACTGGAGGACCTGTGCCGCTTGTTGTTGGTCCATTGCTAAGACCCTGGAGCGTATCGCTCCGCTACCATGAACGGAGAATATGCAACTCGCTATTTTAGCAGCGGTGTTCTTGAGCCAAAGGTTGGCGTAGCAACTAGTGAGAACCCTATATCCCGTCACATGCATGTATACAGTTATATATATATAATAATGTCTGGAAATATGTATATCTATATATATATATCTATCTATTTATCTATCTATCTAGCTGTACGTAAATGATATTTATCAAAAAAAAATATGGTGGATCAGAATCGCAAGTGGGCCGCTACTTACTGGTATTTTCATGTTGAAATCCCAGGCCCTCGGGGCCCTCGCGGCCCTCGCGGCCCTCGCCGCCTCCCAAATTTCGCGATGTCCCTTCAACCAAGTGCACGCCTCTTCCATGGCCTCGGGAAAAAAAACATCAAGCTGTTTTGTTCACATGAGAGGCAAATATAAATGTGTAAAATGCATATACATATATATATATAACGTAAATAAAGGGTATGTATCATGTGTATAATGTAAATAGAATGTATATGTTTAATGTATATATATATATAATGTATATATTGATTGTAAATAGAATGTATATATATATACCTATATCATGTAATAAATATAATGTAAATCTAATACAATAACGTATTTATATTTAATGTATATTTAATCTATATATATAATGTATTTCTAATGAATATATCTAATGTATATATATAATGTATACATTTAATGTGTATATATATAATCTATATATCCAATGTATATATCTAATGTATATATAATTCATATGAATAATGTGTATAGGATGGAAATACAAGATATACATAATGTATGTAAAGTGTATATATAATGTGTATATATATATAGTGCATGTAAACAAGTATAGAAATAATGTGTATATTATGTAAAAATAAAACTAAACAAATAAAATGTAAATATAACGTATATATTAAATATATATATATATTTATTTATTTAATGTATGTTTGATATATATAGAGTCTGTATATATATTGTATATAGAGCCTATATATATAATGTATGTATAATGTATATATAATGTATATAATCTTTGTATATATATATATAAAATAATGTACATATAATGTATATATACTGTATATATAATGTCTATCTAATGTATATATAATGTATATAATGTATAAATAATGTATATATAATGTATATATAATGTATATATCATGTATATATATTGTATATATCATGTATATATAATGTATATATAATGTATATATCATGTATATATATTGTATATATCATGTATATATATAATGTATATATAATGTCTATCTAATGTATATATAATGTATATAATGTATAAATAATGTATATATAATGTAAATATAATGTATACATATTGTATATATAATGTAAATATAATGTATATATATATATTGTATATATAATGTATATATAATGTATATATCATGTATATATCATGTATTTATAATGTATATAAAATGTATATATAATGTATATATAATGTAGATATATGTAATGTATATAAAATTTAAAATGTATATATAAATATAATGTATATATAATGTGTAATAATACGAAAATAATATATATATATAATGTATATATAATGTGTATATAATGTATATTTAATGTGTATATAATGTATATATAATGTGTATATAATGTATATGTATATGTAATGTAAAAAAACAATAATATATATAATATAAAATATAATATATATAATATATATAATATATATAATATATATAATATATATAATATATATAATATATATAATATATATAATATATATAATATATATAATATATATAACATATATTTAATATATATATATAATATAATATATATAATATATATTTAATGTATATATGTATGTATTTAATGTATATATATAATGTATATATATAAAATATATTTAATGTATATATATATATATAATGTATTTATATATAATGTATATATATATGTGTGTAATGTTTGCAAAATCTATCGTGTGTATATAATGTATACATAATGTAAATATATATATATTTATTCAATGTATATAAAATCTAAAATATATATATATATATATTTAATAAAATACAATATATATATATGTATATATATATATTTTTATTAAAATATATTTAATATAAAATGTACATATATGTACTGTATATATATATGTGTGTAATGTTTACAAAATCTAAAATTTTTACAAAATGTATATATAGTGTATATATAATGTGTATATATATGTAATGTATACAAAAAATCTACATGTTTTTAATATATATTATGATGTAATGTATATATATGTGTGTAATGTATATAAAATCTATAATGTATATAAAATGTATATATAATGTAGATAATGTATATATATGTGCGTAATGTATCTAAATCTATAATATATATTTAATATATATTATATATATTTATATATAATGTATATATATGCGTGTGTAATGTATAAAAAAATCTTTAATGCATATACAATGTATATATAATGTGTATGTATATGAAATGTAAATAAAATCTATAATATAATATATATAATATATGATATTTAAATATATATATAATATGTAATATAAAATATATATAATATATAATATATATTATCAATATATATTGTAAATAATATAATATATTTAAAATATATAACATGTATAATATATATAATATTTATAATATTTATAATATTTATAATATATAATATATTTATAATGTATAATATATTTATATGTAATGTATAATATATATATATATGTAATGTATATATAATTTATATATGTAATGTATATAAAATTTATATATGTAATGTATATATATAATATGTAATGTATATATATATATGTAATGTATATAAAATCTAAAATGTATATATATATGTGTAAGGTATATAAAATCAATATATATATATATGTTTTTTATATATTATTATATATGAATGTTATACATATACAGATAATGAGATGTGACAAGTGTCCAATCTTTTACCTTTCACCTCTCAACTGAAGCACGAGGTTCTGGCGCAGATTTCTCTCAGTAAAATACGCCGGCTTCGTAGAAACTTTAGCTGACCCACTGGAAATTGATATATGAGTGTCATAGCATGTCATAGCTATATCAATGGCATCCATTGAGAAATCAGAAATCTCTGCGACGCAAATCAGCCACAGAAGTGCCATTCATCTTCTGGTGAAGTAGGAGCTGACTCAGAGCCTCCAACTCCAGCGACAAAAGTTCGGATTTTTTTGAAATCAAAATGGCAGCAATCCAATCCGGCAGAATCTGGTTCAACCTAGCCACAAAACTGTTTTGAAGTATGCAAGAGTTGAAGACCCCAACCATAAGTTCGTGGAGGCATACTTTTCTTTTCGAGCCCCCAGACAAGCTTCTGGTCGACCCATGATGGCGATACCGAAAAATTTGACACTTGCAATGGGAACTCAAAATGTTTGGAAAATATGCACGGACCATTGGTTTTTTCATAAATTGAGAACTATGGCCTAATGGATTGGGAAAGTATTTGGCCGGATCTGCAGAGTGGCTAGTGATGGGGGGGTCTATGTAAAAATCTTGAGGGTCTACAATGTTTAACGATCGTTCTCAGCATGTACAATTTGAAGCATTAAATTTGAAGCATTCACGAGCAAATACGTCAGTGGCTTTAACTGGACCAAACCAGCTCCAGTTGTTTGCTCAATTTCCCATCTGTGGAGCTTTCCTAACATGTGGCTACAGCCAGTCATCCATTTTAGATGAGGATTTTCCATGAAATAAACGATCCAGCGATAAAGGGGCACCCCCATTTATGGAAACCCCCCATGTTGCCTGTTAACTCCAGTCAGGAGGAGCTGGCTTCAATGATATCCCAAAATTGAAAATGATAGACAGGTTCAAGAATGGTTGTGAAAAATGCGGGTTATCCCATAAACGAAAAAAAAACGGGGAAAACCCGTTTCCTGAAATGAGAAAATACCCCTATCCCATCTCATTGTACTGGTTGGTTCAGAAACGTATCCCATGAAAATCATGGTTTATCATAATCCCCAATATCCCCTCTGGTAAATTAACATAGCTATGGAAATCACCATTTTTAAAAAGGAAAACAACTATAAATAGGCAATTTTCAATAGCTATTTTGACATAACCAGAGGGCATTTGGAAGTACAACCCCCGTTGATCAACCAACAATGAGTCGGGGGCCTTACCATGTTAAAACGTGGTAGTACCACTGTTGATCATCACACAACGGTAGATTTAATGGCTCAAATACACCATGTTCAAAGCCCGGTGTCATCCCTTGAAAAAATGGTTGATCATTGGTGTGTATAGTCCCCCAACTCACCAATCATCATCTATTATTATCAGCTGTATATGCCAAAAAAATATCCGTAGATGCTCGATCATCGCCCAAAAATCCGGTAGAAATGATGGCCCAGCAGCATCCATCTTGAGGGAAAAGGATCCAATCAGCTCCCGAACCGTGGGGGCCAGAACTTCAAGGTCGCGGCTGCCATATTTGTCCTCGGAAAATGATGGATTTTCATGATGGATGGGATTTTTACATCAAGAATTGAGATTTTCATCAGCAAAAGCCATCAAAATTCATCAAAAAACGATGTTCAGTGGTGAACAGGGAATCACTTGTGTGGTTTTTTCGCCGGCTCCGCAGCTCCGTGGAAAAAACTGCGAACTTTTCATGCCATTTGTTGATCGGTCCCAAAGTCTTCAACTACTAGTCTTGGTAGCTATGGAAAATCACCATTTTCAATGGGAAAATCCACTATAAATCACCATTTTCAATAGCTATGTGATTTTGTAGAAATTGCTATTGACGTTCTTTCAAGTTTCATGGTGATGCGAGAAATGCTGGGAACGGGAACAGCGAAAATATTCTGGTCGAGTTTCAAGACGTATGCCCTGGGTGGCGGACAGGGAAATTCCCCGACTCCAGGCACTGGTATTGTGGGGCGGATACGAAATCATCTTCGTATTGATGCCTCGTATCCCGCTCGCTGGATCCGATCCCAAGGACTTCCAATGGACAGCAACTGTCTAACCATCCTAAAATGGCAATGGTGTTGAGCTATATATACCTGTATAGATGTTTACTTTCAGTCAACATCTATATATATATATATGTATATGTATATTCAGCATTATTCAACCGTCAAGACTGATACGATCAACTTGGCCGTTGCCGGCAGATCCACTTTTTGGTGCGTTTTGCGTGACATTTCTCTGCAAAGGATATCATCTTTTGCCCCAACAATCCTGACAAAACAGGGAAAAAACTAACATATGGTTTTGTCTTGTCTGAAAAGTAATAGGAAAAAACACGGGAAAGATAGGGGGACATCCCGTTCTCAATCCCATTCATTTTTCCCGATAGCGTCTGAGCGAAGGGTTCTTCTAATAGTGGGGGTCTGTCAAACATTTTCACGTTTTCACATCTTCACATCACATCTTCAAATCCTCACGTCTTCTCATCCTCACATCCTCACATCTTCACATTTTCTCATCTTCGCATCTTCTGATCTTCACATCCTCACATCCTCACATCTTCACCTCCTCACATCTTCACATCTTATCATCTTCACATCTTCTCATCTTCACATCTTCACATCACATCTTCACATCTTCTCATCTTCACATCTTCACATCCTCACATCCTCACATCTTCACATCCTCACATCTTCACACCTTCACATCTTCACACATCTTCTCATCTTGCCCTCTTGCTCTCCTCACATCTTCACATCCTCACATCTTCACATCTTCACATCTTCTCATCTTCAAATCACATCTTCACATCACATCTTCACATCTTCTCATCTTCTCATCTTCGCATCTTCTCATCTTCACATCTTCACATCCTCACATCCTCACATCTTCACATCCTCACATCTTCACACCTTCACATTCTCTCTTGCCCTCTTGCTCTCCTCACATCTTCACATCCTCACATCTTCACATCTTCACATCTTCTCATCTTCAAATCACATCTTCACATCACATCTTCACATCTTCTCATCTTCTCATCTTCACATCTTCTCATCTTCACATCTTCACATCCTCACATCCTCACATCTTCACATCCTCACATCTTCACACCTTCACATTCTCTCTTGCCCTCTTGCTCTCCTCACATCTTCACATCCTCACATCTTCACATCTTCTCATCTTCAAATCACATCTTCACATCACATCTTCACATCTTCTCATCTTCTCATCTTCACATCTTCTCATCTTCACATCTTCACATCCTCACATCCTCACATCTTCACATCCTCACATCTTCACATCTTCACATCTTCACACTTGCTCTCTTGCCCTCTTGCTCTCTTGCCCTTCTTTTTCCTTCTTTTCTATTTCTCTCTTAAGGCACGGGGCAGTGCCAACGAGACGGCACGAAACGCAACCCTTTCGCACGAAACGAGCTTCGATTGCCAAAAACTGAAGTGAAATTGCGAGTTTACAACCTCGGCGGCAACTCTTTCGCACGAAACGAGCTTCGATCGCCAAAAACTGAAGTGAAATTGCGATTTTCGCACCAAACGAGGTTCGATCGCCAAAAACTGAAATGAAATTGTGATTTTGAGTGTGCCGCGACAACCCTTTCGCACGAAACGAAGTTCGATCGCAAAAAACTGAGGTAAAATTGCGATTTCCACGGGTCCAGCGAAACCCTTTCGCGCGAAATGAAATTTGATCGCCAAAAACTGAGGTAAAATTGCGATTTTCACGGGTCCGGCGCATCCCTTTCGCACGAAATGAGGTTCGATCGTCAAAAACTGAGGCAAAATCGTACTTTTTGCATGACAACATGGCATTGGCGGCCGACTGCTCTGATTCGTACGTTTTGATGTCCAAACGTGTAGTAAAGTTGCGATTTCGCAAGCTTGCGCGCAACCCTTTTGCACGAAATGATGGTCGAGTGTCAAGAAATGAGGTGAAATTGCAATTTGAGAGGTCGAAGCGGAACCCTTTCGTGCGAAATGGTGGTCGAGTGTCGAAAACTGGGGTGAAAGCTTTTGTGTGTAAAAGGGTTTGCGCGTAAAAGCGTCTGTGTGTAAAAGCATCTGTGTGCAAAATCGTCTGTGTGTAAAAGGGTTTGTGTGTAAAAGGGTCGGTGTGTAAAAGGGTCTGTTGAGCTTGTGTATGCGTCTTCCTCTTTGTGTGCATGTGTGTCTGTGCATGCCTGTGTGTGTGTGCGTGTATGTGTCTTCCTCTTTGTGTTCTGATTGTGTGTGTGTGCGTGTGGTGTCTGTCTGTGTACCGTGTGTGTGTGTGTGCGTCTGCGTCTGTATCTTTGTTTGTGTGTCCGTGTGTGTATGTGTTTCTTTGCTGTCTCCGTCGGTCTCTCAAATGTTGTGTCTATCTTTGTCTGCGTCTGCTTAGAATCTGACATAGCATTTCTATCTCCTTTCTGCTGATCATCTGCATCATCTTCAATGAAGCTTTCACCTACAATGTCTTTGATACTACTTACAAGAGAGTAACATGCTCTTCTACGCCCTCGGGCCATCCGCAGTCATCATCCATTTGAGATGGGGATTTTCCCTAACAAAAACCATCCAGCGATTAAGGGGTACCCCCATGGAAACCCCATATAAAACTGCTATTTTACGACACTTTGAGTGTGCAAACTGGCTTTCCCCGGCCTATGAAGGTGGGATCCGGTTGCCACCAGTAGAACAACGAGGAGACCTCTGCAGCAAGTTTGGCATATGTGTCCCAGTCCTTCACATCGACCGGCACCACCGGCATGTGAAAAATGGTGGCTCTTTGCATCATCACTTCGGTCTCGTAACCGAAAGCCGTGAGAAACAGGAAACACTTGGAGGTCTCCAGCCGACAAGCAGGTGGAAGCCAGAAGTATTCCTTGGATTTCATTCTCAGATGGCCCCAAACATTTAAAAAAAAACATCCCAGTGTGGAAGTCAAAGCGTTTTCCAAAAATATGCGTTCTAGTTGGGGGAGACCAATATGGGAAGTCGATGCGATGTTGCGTCCACTTGGTGTTTTGTACGTTATGAATTTATTCTATTGTAACACTTTGCAGCCGGAAACATAGCTTTGATGCATAAGTATAGCACTTCCAAATGGTTTTTTATTGCCTTGCTTTGCACCGACTGCACCGACTGCACTGACTTCCTGCGGTGCGTCCCATGTGGATCAACTAACAGGAACATGTTCATAGAAAAACCAGGATTCCTCAAAGCACTTGCCTCGCAGTGTCCCATTCACCAGTTCCACGCCCTCCGTATCTCCTGTGGTTTCAAGATAGTTCTGCATATTTGCCTTGGATTTGATGATCAAGTTAGCCACAACAGAAATTATAACATCACTTTACATCATTTCATATCTTCCCAGTTTTCTTGCCGGAAAAAGTCGATCAATGAACAGCAACACAGACAAGAAAATACCAAAAATCGTATCTACAACGGCAAATTTTGGTCACTGGGTGGAAGAGCATTGTCTGTTCGCATGGCTTCAAGTCCGACGTATTCACCTTGGTGATGCGATCAAAGTATAGGCCAGGATTGTGCAAGGAAACATTGTAGCTGCGGTAGAACTCCAAGTAGAGTCCTTCAGCTTCTGCCCTCTGAAGCACCTCAGACATAATGTGTTGCCCAGATATTCCGTCATAGCCAATGAGGCCCAGTTTCACCGGAGCTGTTGCTGGGAAGTCTCTCTGGATTGCATCCCAATAGGTTGGATTACTTCCAGTCCAGCCCTCCATTCCAACGTGGAAGTAGGTCTGCTTGGGCGCCGGCCCACAGCCCCGGTCCTCCCCATCGTTCGGTGTTTTGCACCCAGCCATAGCAAAGATCTGCGCAACTGTAACTGGCAGGGTAGCAAGTTACAATGAAATGATATGAAATGCGTGGGTGTTTGTTTTGGCTCATCTCTTACATTTTATAATACAGTATATTTATATGTTATAGTTTTTTTTCCGTAAACAAAGCATGTGGAAATTCATCAAAACTCATCAGCTCCTCCGAGTCCATCAAACAACATGAGGCTTGGGTGAGAAAGGTACAACAGGTCACGACAGCCCGGTTTGAATTGAAATCCATCGCATGCTTCCAACCAACTCCAAGGCCAGTGCCAGGAAGATGTTTTTTTGTGAGTTGGAACCATTGATGATATAATATATGACGTCCGATAACATTATATTGCTGCTCGAATTGCTACATTTCTTACATTCCTTGGAAATCCCACATTCTTCCCAGCATTTAAAGGCAGAAAATCTCTTTGAAAATCGACGTCAACGGGCCTGAACCCTTCCCAGTGAGCACATGGAAACCCAATTTCTCTTGAATCAGAATCTGTGCCATGGCAGCAGTCAGCTCACCCGAGGCCCATTGGTTTACCCAGATGCCCAGTGGATAGCTCTCACCTGCGATGGTTTTTGTTCTGGTGCAGGTAAGAATTCCAACCACCAGGAGATTTCGATGTTCATCAGATATCAGGATTGTGGAATCTTGATATATTAGATATAAGTGTTGCTGGAACTAACCATTTTCCTGTACGTTCCTGATTGGACCTGAGTGGGCTATAAATCCCTGCGAAATTCAAGTAATCAAAGACCAAAGTTCCAGGCAGCAACACAGAGAGAGGCGACACCGCTGGGAGCAGCATTCACAGAAGTGGAGGTGGAAGCGAAGTTAAGGAAGGACAGCAAATCAGAGAGTCGAAGAGGCAATCAAGGAAGGAGCACAAGCAGGTAGGAACTTTATCGCAGCCCTAAAGGCAGTTAGCCACCAAACTGTAAAACTGTTTGAGTCTTCGACTCAGAACAAGCGACCACTTACATGATGCCTTAGACTGCCTTAGAATGAAGATGCTGTGTTCTCTGCTAGCTCATTCCTATGTCATCATGATTTACAAGGGCTTTATGCCGGACTAGATTCTTGAAATTGTCAATATATACTTCTCAGCAAATTCAAGAAAAAAGACATCATCACTGATCATCACTTTTTTCTCGTTGTTTCAGGCGGTCGCCTGATGACATAGTACTTGTGAGGGGGGGCTGATAACTGATGACACACGACTTAACGTACCCCGGGGTATCTTTCACAAGTCCTAAGTCACTAGGGTATTGAAAATAAAATATACAATACAATACAGTACAGTACAAAACAATACAGTACAATACAAAACAATGCAATACAAGACAATACAATACAACACAATACAATACAAGACAAAATCATACAATATATTATATAATATACTATAATATAATATCATATCATATAATATAATAATATAATATAATATTATATAAGATAATATAACTCCATAAAAAAAAAAAAAAAACATATCATGTCATATTCATATGGTATCATATAATATCATTTAATATCATATAAAATCATATAATATAGTATAATATAATACAATATAATATAACATAGTATAATATAGTATAATATAATACAATATAATATAACATAATATAATATCAAATAGTATAATTTAATAAAATATAATACATTGTAATATAATATAACATAATATAATATAATATAATGCAATATAATAGAATATAATTTAATATAATATTAAAAAATAAAAATAAATGAAATGAAATGATACATATTGAAATATATATGATATCATATTGAAGTATATAAAATCAAATGCACTGCAAAATGACTGCGCCTTCGGTGTTGCTAAGATTCCTTCGCTCTGAAGGTGCAATGGCATCCTCCAAGCAGCGCTCAGCCCCGGCCACCACAGCGGCCAGCAGCCCAAGTCGCACAAATCCGAGTGAGACATGGCGGCTTTGCATGGTGGTGGCCCTCTGGTGGCGAACATGTCCAGGATCAGTGCCAAATTTTCCATGATTTACCTTGATTCCCCCATGAAAATGTTGCTGTCTTTTGTGTGGTCTCCCAGTTTGAAATTTGAGGGCATCCTCCATTTTGGTGCACATGAAGTTGAATGCAGTAAGCATTAGGAAATTCTGGATGAATTTGGGGATTTGCTGGTCGACTTTAGACCAAGTGTGGGGAAGTTGAAAAGATGTTCCCTGACAAGTTCTTGTTTTTCCTAGAAAAAAATAAAGTTTTTGGGCCACATGATGCAACCCATAGAATCCCATCTACCCAAGTGGCGAGATACCCTTGTGATCAGGGTTTATTCATGGTGTAAGCAACCCACGGCTGCGAATCACTTTAGAAGGCACGACTTTAAGACTTTGAACGGATCAGCAACTCCACTTGCAGCCACCAAACTGTTCAGGGCAGGGCAGACTAAATATTTTTCAGCCTGGCTGTAGTTACACCCACCCTGCCATGTAGAAATCTAATTTTGTAGTGGTTCACCCTCCTGCTTTAAATCGGTGTTTTTGATGCCGGGCTTCTCGGCTGGCAGAGACCGGGGGCTGGTGAACCCAATTTCGGAAAAGGATAGAAAGGATAGGAAAATGGATGAAAAATGATGAAGGGCATTGAGGATATGAGTTTTTCATATTTTTCAGATACCTTCATCTTGGCTTACCAGAAATTTAGGGGGTTACGTCAGAAAGAATCAAGATTGCACCAGGATAGGGAAAATAGACAAACATGTCTGTTTTGAACCCTCATATATATATATGTGTTATATGTATATATATATTATTATATGTGCCTTATACATATTATATATATATGGGTAAATTATAATATTTCACCAACCTGAATTAAGGCCATTTGGGGATGATTTCCCTTATTAACCATGATTCCAGTGAGGTCGCAGTGAGGTCGTTATAAATTACCCAGGTCAGTAGCTATGGCTGGCTCCATCTCAAAGGGATTGCGAAACTTGGGCTGAGAGATCAGGGGCTGCAGCGATTGAGAAACTCCTGAGTGCCCCACGGTGTGAAAGCACCTGCGCAAATCACACAGTGACAGACTCTTTTTGGCCCAGGCGATGGGAAATCCCAAAGATGGAAACTCATCCATACATAGGTCTGGTAATAAGTAGCTTGAAGCAGGGACATAGAAACAGAATCAGCTGGGAAACACTGGGAAATACCAAAAAAAATACGTTCACAGAACCCAACTGATCGCTGCATCCGCGATGATAGGAAATACTGCAAGAGTTTACAGACAAACACGGTGAATCTGCCCTGAATCACTCTGAAAATCTGGTACAGGGTCAAAACATACTGGGAAAAAATGTGAGATCTTGATAGATCTTGTATCCATATGAATCAATGAATTCGAATTATGTACTTGCAATTTACGATATATTTCGAGGTTTCCTAAAATGGGGGCTACCCCAAAATCATCCATTTTTTCATAGGATGTTCCCTTATAAATCATCTGGTTGATGGTTTCAACCCCTCTGAAAAATATGAGTTCGTCAGTTGGGATTATGACATTCCCAAGATTAATGGAAACGTGAAATTACATGGTTCCAAACCACCAACCAGTCATCCAGCTATTGGGGCCCCATGAAACCTCTCCTTGCTGGAGACTTCAGGTCTGCGACTCAGGACCCACAGAAATGCGCGGTTGGGATAGCCGATGATCGCCTAATGGCACCGCTGCCATGGTGCCATGGGATGACAGCTGGGGATGAAATCTTCCGGATCAGCCGGTGCAAGTCTAAGAAAGTAGTGATATAGATTGATATCCTAAGAAATATTTCAGATCTAGTATTTATTTATAAGTATTCCAGGATATCATATCTAGTTAAGTATTATAGTCAATATGTATAAGTATATCTAGTGAATACTTTCATATAGTATAGTCAAGTATTCCAGTATAAAAACATGCATTAACCATTAATATGTCCACGATCAGTTGGGATTCTAAAAATGGGGGGGTTGTTGAAAAAGGCCTCTCTACACTGCGGTTGAACAATGGTCATGAGGAAATGATCCATGAACAGCGGATGGCACATACAAATACCCTCTGGTTATGACCAACATGGCCATGGAAAATGGCCCATTTATAGATGGTTTACCTATTAAAAATGGTGATTTTCCATGGCTATGTTAAATAACCAGAGGGTATGTGCCTGAAATTCATGTGAATGCTGGGGAATTGGATTGGATATGATTGGATCCCCTCACAACTAGTACCCGAAACCAACTCGGGTAGAAAAACAACTGGGACAAGGAATCTACGCCAGTGACAGTTACACCAATCCCCTGGTGAAAAGGGCTCTGCGTCCACGAGGCCGTGCTATAATCCTCCGAGCGATCCACGATGATGTAGGGCAACCGCAGGACCTTCGAACAGGTGGGTGATTACACATCCATGAATGTTTATATAATTATGGAAAAGAAATATCATGTTTCATCCATATATCATTACACATTATAATATTACACATCCACATCATCCACTATGTGTTTTTATGGTGAAAAGAAATGAAAAGAACCATGATAGTCCCATCAGTCTCCAACAGCATTTTCCCAAGGGATGGTAAATCAGCACTGAGCCGTGGCAAATTTTCGTCCCAGGGAACCATCCTTTGACAGTAAGCGAATCACCCAAGCAAAAATAAAAAAAGGGAAAATCAAGACTTGAATCACAAGAATCGAATTCAAAGTGAATCAATAATTAAACATATCCTTCATTAATTATTCCAAGTTCCATTCTATACTCATGGTACAGATAAAGCCAGCACTGGTCACCCATTTTGTCAGGAGGCTCCGCTTAAAGCATAGCCGAAGAGAGGCAACTTTGGAGACACTCGCCACTCTGCGTTGGTGTCCTGGGACAAGCTCACTGCGGGTTGGGGAGCTCCCCCAATCTTCCTTTTCCCCAATTGTTTTTTTGGGCTAATTTGTTGGAAATACACGGCAAAAAAAACTATAGCAACCCCAGAGATGCATAACCAGCTCTTTATCGTAGTCTTGGTTATATACAGTACCCTATTATCCCGCAGTATCCCATATTATCCCACTTCCAAATATGTGAAAATCCCCTACACGATGGTTTCTGGTTTCTGTGTGTCATATTAGGGGGAAAGGATGATACCCCCACTATATTAAAATCAGCATAAATCCCTATAAATCATGATTCTATCCACATGAATCCTTAAAAAAAGGTCCCGACCTAAGGTACCCAGTATTTTTTTTAATGAATCCTCACTAGTTTAACCATAAATCCCTATGAATCCCTATGAATCCCTATAAATCCCTATAAATCCCAAGTTTCAGGTACCAAAACCCCGATCCCCACCTACGCCACGCCTTGTTCTGCACCCATCCACGCTGATAGCTGTCGTTCAAAGGTCCATCGTGAGCATCCTCGTTGAACCTGGACGGAGCAGCATCCTCTTTGGTCACTTGGAATATGCATCAAATCGGGTGCATAAATATATATATATAATTATGAAAATATGTGTATATATAATATATAGTTATATATAGTATAATGTAGTATTATATTTTTGTGTATTCATACTATATGGTATATAACATGTTATGTATATATATACACAATTTGAAGCCTTAAACCAGTGATGTGTGGAAACATCCCGTGATCTCTGAAGGCTGAGTCTGTCCAAAAAACATTCAGCTCTAAGGACCCCACAGCGAACGAGTCTGGATAATTCTGAGACATTTTTGGTCAATCGGAAAGCTGTGTAAACACAGTTTTTAAAACAATTGGTTGAAGTATATGAAATTGAAATTATTTCAAGATACTAAGTATGAACCATCCTTCACAGCTGTGTCAACCGGTAATCATCCGGCAGCCAGCGCCATCCCATCAGGCCTGTAATGCACATCAATGCGCTGCTTTGCTTCATCCCAGGAATATGTCTCCACCGCGGTGCGCGAGGTGCTCCTGTACGTACCGACCCGGCAAAAAAAGAGCTTGGCGACGTTTGAGATGCTGTATAGTACCCCCCCAAAAAAAAAAAATAATTGGCTAAATCCCACTAAAGTGGTGATGATTTACTAAGCTCTATCTTTCTTGGTGGGTTCCCCAATTTTGGTTCCCTAAATCCTCACCCAGTGGGTCTCCACCATGGCACCTTCACCAACTTCACTGGGATGGTTGCGAAAGCCTGCGCCAAAAAGATGGTTGCAGGAACCGATTGAGGACGGAGGTACCTACCATTTTTAAAAAAGGCCTTTCTATACGGATATCCCCACAAAATATGGCCTGAAAATATGGTACGTTTACGTACCTCCATCTGTTGGATCCTGAAATTCCCATTGATCAACTGCTGCCCCAAACTTCGATCCTGCCACTTCACATGAACCAAAGTCTCGGTGCTTCATTCAACATAATTCAGCTAGCAGGAGAAATCTTTGGATCCCTCCCACCAAAACCACAATTTTCATCTATCAAAAAAACAGGAAACATCATTTTCATGGATATCCATTATATTCATACTGGTACGGTATGGGAATGGGTGATGCCCCCCATGGCCAGTAGCTGTTCACTGGTGCCCTTCTCCACTTCAGACCTTCATAGAGCTCTTTCCCAAACATCTAGTTAAGATTATCCCCAAAAATTTACCCCTACACCGCCTACACCGTTATAAAATATTGGGATGAGTGGCAACCTGGCGGATGAGCACGCAACGAGTTGAAGATGAACTTGATTACCTGCCACGATGGCAATATGCAGTTGAAACTTGTAGTTTGAAAAGCGCTGGACACAAAACAAACACCCAGCTGTGAATGAAATGAACGCCTACAGTCAAAGGTCTTTGAGAACAAAGTTTCACGCTGTGAGATGCAGAAAAGATATGAAAGGATGACATCGCTGAGGACAACCACTTGCCGGACAAGTTCTTTTTGGACACCGCAGGAGTTCTCAAAGGCTGAGCCATGGCACGCTTCGCTGCTTTGGCTCGTAGCAGTCGTCTACGGCGCGGCATCCGCAGACTGTTTTGTTAAACCTCGCAGTCCCAGGGGTCTGTGTGAGCAGACCATGGCGGCCCGCAAAGTCAGTGAAGTCGGGCATCAGGTCACCATAGGATTTGGGTCCGTGCCAGCATTGAAATTTGAATACCTCTTCAATGCCTTTGGCCTTGTTGTACGCGTACTCGTGCCACTGGCAATTGCGATACCAAGGTTTGTTTTTTTTTGGGATTCCCCTCCAAATGTGTTCCATTCGCCCGACTTTGCCAAGTGACAGAGATGTCTCTTGCAAGTATCCTCGACATACATCACTGCATTCTTCCACATGGCGTCTCCCTTCTAGGCCGAGCAGATTTTGGGCCCTTTCGTCCAGACGGCCGTAGACATAGCAGAACAAAATTCAACTGGGAGAACCCCTTTGCGATAACGAACCTTCCACTTTAAGGCCACAAAGTCATCCACAGCGCTGAGGCGAACGAAATGCTCCCCGCAATCCTTTTGGTTCAGATTGACGACTGTACGCAGCTCCCGGTGACAACCCACATCAAGACAGAAGCTTCTATTCTCCATCCTCAGCCCATATGGCGGCGGCTTGAGAAGAGAACAGTCGACCTTCTTTGACCACCAGTCCCCTTCAAGGCGAGAAGCGAAAGCTGCAAGGCTCAGGACTGCGATCACGCGGGCCATGGCGCAACTTCCGAAATGGGATTTTGCAGCTACACAAAGTGCGCTTGAGCAAAGTTTTTGATTGCGGCCATGTATGGTGCACATGTAGTTGATATGAAGCTTGCAACGGCTCAACGAACTTCGCACAGAATTTCCATGCATCACCGCAAGCTTCCTTCGTGCATCATTTCTGCCAATAAACCTTTTCAGCCCAAAATTACTTAGAACAACATCAAGAAACGAACTCGAGCCCTGATCATTCATTGACCCTGGCAAGCTGGTATACACCAAAGTCCCTTCATCTGAATAGCACGGCTTGGGGGGTTGAACATGCCAGCAAAGATCCATTCACCACTGAGCAAATCAGCAAGAAATCTGGTTGAAACCATCTCCAAATCCCTGCTGGGCAACTCATCCACTTCCACCCACCGGTCGGGGCGCACCTTCTGATTGAAGGTGATGGCAGAGGTGGAGTGGAAGTTGAAAAATAAAGGAAGTTGAGGCAAATGTTGTGGCAATGGGGCAAGGCGGTAGTGAGAGGATACTCCAAAGAAAATTGTTGGTTCCAATTTCTCTACTTTGTTTGAGAGAATTCCTGGTGTTTGCCTATTGGATGGACTGCCTTGATTCCAATCATACATGATGATGATGACGACGACACCCTGTTTCTCTCCGTGTTCTGTGCTCGGTTCGGTCGAAGCATCGGCATGGGCGCACTCTTTTTTTCCGGACACGATGCGTGCAGCATCTCTGCTCGACAAATGACGCTTGCTGAGGCGGATGATGATGATGATGATGATGATGAATCTGTACCTGCAAGATCATCCAATACTGCTCCTGTCACTCAACATACACGCTAACACTGAGCAACCTTCACTTTGTACTGCACCTGCCACGAATCCATACCTCCAAGATCACCAAATGCGACGACTGTCACGAAAAATGACCGCTAACACTTCGTAGCGTTCACTTTGTCGTGCGCCTGCCACGAAAGTTTTGCCTCAAAGCTCACCAAATACTGCGCCTGCTACTAAAAATAAACACAACTGTTGCAGCCAGAATTCCAAGGCAAAGATTCCGAGCATGAAAGTGCCATGGCCAAGTGCTGCGCCCGCCACGAAAAAACGACTTCGACGTTACGAAGTGCTGCGCCTGTCACGTGAAACGAACCGAGCCCACTCCGCATCCGCCGCGACACCTTGCGCGAACAGGGTAAATTTGACGACCGCCTCAACGCACTTTACCTGAGAACACACAACGTTTCGCGAGGTTTCTACCAAAAACTCAACGATTTTCTACCTTTTTCATGACAGTGCCTTGACTTTCTCTTTGCATGATGTTTGACTTACTTGACTCTTCTACTTACTTGACATTCCGACTTCGAATATCTCCATTCTGGCTGGTCATCTTCATTCCTTTGCTGGTTCAATAACCATAATTCAAGTTTCTATGCGCAGCTTAAAATCCCAATTGGTTTCTATTGGTTTCATGATTTCTTGCTGGTGAGGGTTCAGTTCAAAACAAACATTTTGGTCAATTTTTCCCATCCTGGTGCAATCTTCATGCTTTCTGACATAACCCCCTAAATTTCTGGTAAACCAAGATGAGTTTATCTGAAAACTGATATCCCCAATTTCAATGCATCAACCCCACCCCTGGTCCCACCATAGCCGCGGCCGTGGCGTTCTTGAGTGAGCCGCAGAGTTGGCTCAAGGCCTTCCCCATCATCAAATTTCACAGGAATTCAACAAAAAATATGTACAGGTACAACCATATCATTTCAGAGCTTCTCTACACTTGAAAAAAGAACTTGAAAAAACAATTGTTCATTGGAAAAAGATGGAGGGTTTGAAGTCCTACCAATGGCCATAGTTTGTGGCTCTAGTGGGGATCTCCTACCATTGGCCATCAGTTTGCCCCGTGCCTGCCACGGAAAAAATGGAGGATGCCACAAACCATGCATTTTGCCAGATGATGAGCTTCTGATTTTTGGTTTTTCCTTTGATTTTCCTGAAAAATATTTAAGAGGAAAACCATCTATGAATTTATGAAAATGCTGTAGTACCAGGTTGCAGCATGTGCATTTCTGATGGTTCATCAAAAAAACGATGTGCTGCGAGCAGGCAACTCATGTCCGCCAATCGAGGGTGTTTCTCAAGCAAGTGATCGTCCAATTGAATGGTCGCGTCTATCTGGAATACCAATGGTTCTGGGGTACCCCCTCTTGAGAAAACTCCGGTTGCATTCGTTTCAAGAAGTTGGTATGCAAAAATGATTCACAACATCACAAATCAATTGATCATTTGTAGCACACAACCATCCCAGTGTTCGCGGTCCATGATTTAAAGCGCCATAGCCACAGGAGGAACCGGAACATGTCGACACTTTCTTCAACCTCAAGCAGTGGACCCAGCGATCCCATCACAGGCTGCCGCGTATTGCGCAGCAGACATTACCGTGGCGGAAACCCGGGTGCGGAGTGTCTCCAAAGGCTCCCAATCCAGGCATACCTGGAGACAACGGGGATCCAATGGGTTGGCGTAATTCTGCTTGTAAAAAATGGCCATAAAATTGCCATTTTGGGGGCCCTCCCAACTTCTAAACACACCAATCTGCTGAGGAAATGAGGACAAAAAGACGTTTCGAAAGAATTGGTATGTCATCCGAGGGAATAAATCTCATCCACACCATGGATAAATAAATCACATTTCCCCAAACTTCAATTGGGTGATTTGGGTACACAACTGAGTTGGGGTTCTCCATGTGGTATGGCGCCGTATCCCATGATCCCCAGGAATGGCGTGCCTCATCGTTCATTAGGACGCGCACCGAGCGCGGGCCGTTCAGCTCAGCTGTCTCTAACCTGAAACGGGCGTCCACTGACGTCCACTGACGTCCACTGAAACGGGGTTTCTCAATGGAAAATCCCATGGAAAATCCCATGGAAAATCCCATGGAAAATCCCATGGAAAATCCCATGGAAAATCCCATCCCTTTGAAAAGATCACCCAATTTTTCGTTGCCATGGAAATGCCATGGCTTGACTTGTGCGTGCTTCGCAGATCATGGTCAATGGAGGGGTCCGAGGCACAAGACCATGGAGGCATAGAGTGGCCACTGCTCCTCATGGCAGGATATGGCAGGTAAACAGGATGATTTTTGTGATTCGACTGGTCAGTGGTATCCACATGTATCCACCGAAGATTGGTTCCATGTTCCTCTGCCTCTGCACGTTGTTAAGGCGTCTCCACTCGTGGTCGATTCGCTGCTTTCTTTCATCGATGTCCAAGTGGGTTAAGCAGAGCATACCCCAAACCCCGTTGAAAAAAATCATCAGGGGTTGCTCCCAACACCCCCGATACAAGGGATGCAAATTGGGGAAATACAGATGTGAAATCACCCAATTTACCCAACCTAGTGGCTATTGTTTACCTTAGGGTGGAGCATACTCCGAATAAAAACTGCCAGAAAATGGTGCTCGAAAAACGCCAAGAGTCTGTTGAAACCACTTCAATTGGCTGTTGAAACTATGCTACCTCTGAATCCACTGGTTCATCATTCGGAAAAACGAAAATGGTGATTTGGTGGCTTAATCTGTGACTCCCCCATTTTCAATTACACCCAAATATGGTTTTCTTGGTTAAGCTGCTCCAGTCCTTGAAGACGTCCAAAGCCACCAGAAAAGCCGTCATCATGTTGTCATGCGCCGCCAACAGCGTGATCTGATGACCATCCTGCGACAGATAGTCCATGACATCCTGCGGTGACGCAGCTGACATTACCATAATATTTAGGGAACCCCTCCCAAAAAAAGAACATCAACCAGTTTTTTTCATAAGAATGAGCAGGAAAATATATAAAAATCTAGGGTTGACATGATCATCAACTACTAAATCACTTCAGAGAAATCTGAGCCTGCACCAATCGCCCAGCCGCCAAGCGCAGGAGCTCAGGATTGGCGTAAGCTGCAGCCTCGCAGGCGAAGTGACAGTGAACATGGCCATATGGGGATCAAACATGATCAAACCCTATAACTATAATATTAAAAGATGGGGTATATTAAGGAATTTTAAGGAATTTTGAGGATTGTTAAGGAATTTTAAGGCATTTTAAGGCATGTTCAGGCATTTTAAGGCATTTTAAGGAATTTTAAGGAAATTTAGGGAATTTTAAGGAATGTTAAGGAATTTGAATAATACATTCGAGTATGCTATTTGAGAAATCTGTTTGAGCAAGATTTTAGTAATTTATTTGAGTAATGTATTTGAGTAATCTATTTGAATAATATATTCAAGCATACTATTTGAGTCATCTGTTTGAGCAATATATTGGAGTAATATATTTGAGTAATATATTTGAATAATATATTTAAGTAATATGTTTGAGTAATATCTGAGTAATATATTTGAGTCACATATTTGAGTAATACGTTTGAGCAATATATTCGAGTATACTATTTGAGTAATATGTTTGAGTAATATATTTGAGTAATATATTTGATTAATATGTTTGAGTAATATATTTGAATAATCTATTCGAGTATACTATTTGAGTAATAATATGTTTGAAAAAAAAAAATGAGTAATGTGTTTGAGTAATATTCAGAAATAAAATGTTTGAGTAATTTATTTGAGTAATATATTTGAGTAATATGTTTGAGTAATATAGTTGAGTAATAATATGTTCGAGTAATATATTGGAGCAATATATTTGAGAGATATAGTTGAGTAATATGAACATGATGAACATCCTTTTGTACTGCTAGGCTTCACCAGGGTACCATGGAAGCCGTTGAACATCCGAAACCGGCTATGGCAGGTTATGGGGCCTTGGTTATAGGCTATGGGTCAAGTCGTAGGGGTCCGGGCCTCCACAGATGCCTTGTACTTCTCAATCTTCTTGGCCATCTCCCAGTTGATGCCATCAAAAGTGCCCACCACATCTTGATGGACGCAGAAGGGAGTGAAGTCCAGGATTTTCTTCCTTTGAGGGAACGGAAGGAGGAGGATTACAAGATAGAAACTAACCGTAACGGGTGCACAAGACAGGACCCAAGGGAGGCTATGTCACAACGATGAGCATCTCAAACCTTCCCCCCAAGCCCCAAATCTTGCTCACCGCTTACCTTCACCACGACCCATCCCCTAGACGAGGTGCGTTCAGCAAATGGGTATAACCATCCATCCCACCGCTCAAAGGGAGCAGAGAGGCAGAGAGGCAGCAAAAATTAAAAAGCAGATCAACCTCAAGATGTCCAATCGTTTCTCTCTACCCCACTAAACTTCACTAAACCTCAACCAACTCCAACATCCCCAAGAATATTTTGAAAATAAAGGAAATATAGGAAAATCTACCTCCAAATATCTCCAAGCTTCATCGGTTCAACTCCCATCACCGGCAGCAGCATCTCCTCCAGCTCCCTTCGCATCATTTCCAGCGCCGTCGGCACGCCTGCGTGCGCCGCCTCGATCAGCTGCTGCCGCAGCGCCGCGTAGCGCCGGCAGCGGCCGTCGTAGTTCGGCAGCAGCGTCTGCCGCTCGGGCGCCGCCACGGAGACCGCAGGCGGCTCCGAGGCGCCGAAGCCCAGTAGGACGCAGGAGGCGGTGTGAATCGTGCGGGGGAAATCCTGGGTTGAACCCAGACCCAGAAACCAATCGGTGTGGTTCAGGATGTCACCAAAGAATTAACCATGTATTATATTTATATGAATTCAGTACAAAAAGGGATCTCAGCAACAAAGATATGGCGTGCAATCGTTTTGGCGGTGAACGGTCTTAGCCCCACAATTTGACCATCCGGCGCCACGCAACGGTGCTGAAGGCGCGGATTCGTGCCTCGGGGTAGCGCGCTTTGAGCTGCTGCCCGGCACGGCGGCATTGGTCGAAGCCCAGAGATGTCAACTGACCCAGGTGGCCTGAAACATCGATTTTTTGCATCGAAAAAGTGGTGAAAAATGGGTGAAAAAAGTGGTAAACATCATAAGGGAATGGTTGTAGATGTGATGAACCATGAGAATCTTCTATCTTATTTTTTGGATGGAAATGTTGCCACTTTTGGGGGCGATATTCTTCTGTGTTTTTTTTTACCGCTAGAATTGGGGAGATCATATGAGATAATCAGATGGACCGTGCATGTAACTATATGACTATAGTCAATAGCCAGAAGGTGCGTCAAAGGTTGGCCAAAGGAAGTATAAAGGAAACCGATCCCAGTTCTAGGTCCTCAATTTTGACCAGCCAGAAGGCTGGGGTCATGGTGAGGGTAAGTAACAATAATGCTTATATAATTCATATAACCAAAACATGTTGGAATCGTAGGCCCATGCGACCTCAAACCATTTTGTCTTGGCATTGCGGAGGATATCTGACAGATTTGGGGTCGGACAAATACCAAATAGCCAGTCATGACCTGGGAGAAATGCCCTGCCAGTACCCATGTTCTGATTATTCTAGGGTCCTCAACCGAGTCCTCAACCGAAAGATCTTTGATGGCAGAAACCGCCCGTGACGGAAATCATTCGAAATGAAAGCTCGGGGGTGGACATCCGGTGGAAATGTATCCTCTCGCCGCCAGTGATCACTGGTTCAGCTGGGAAAAAGTGATCACTGGTAATTACAAGCGGTACAAGCGGTACAGTTTTTCTTTCATCTGGGGATTTAAGACATTTACCATCTGGTTATTTAACATTATTTCGATTAGGGCCATCTATACCATGGCGAACTGTTAGTCATAACCATAGGGTAATTTCTATCACCATTTAACACATCCAAAACACATCCATTTAACGCATCCACCAAGAATTTTTTTGCTGACCTTTGGATCCGGCACCGCCATGCACCGCCCCTGGACGCCTCGCACCTTCTCCAACAAACGAGGCATAGCTGTTGCTTCCTGTGCCTTCCTCACGTTCAACGCGCACGGAATCTAACTCAGCTTGTTCCGCTTCAGTGGGTAGAAGCGATCTCCATTTCGGAGCCAAGTGCGACAAGTCCAACTCTCCTCCGAATTCGATGGCCAGGATGGCCAGGATGGCCAGGATGGCCAGGATGGCCAGGATGGGGGACACCAACTTTTTGTATAAATCAGATGCACCCCACCTGGGAAGGTCTCACAAGTGAAGAAACGTGGTGGAAATCAACAAAATCCAAAGGGGCCCTGTTTGCTTTCAAAGCATCCCTTAAAGACATTGACAAAAGAAACATTTGGGTTGTCCCAAAATGTGGAATTCGATTCCCACGGTTGAAATCAGATCACTTTGGGGTCCCAATTTTGAGACAGTTCCCAGGTTTTTTTTCGCAACCAGTCTGACCAAGTCTCCAAATTTCTCACGCACAGGCGTCCGATCACCGTGCCGCATAAGAATGACCACCTGGTTCAACGGGGCCAAACAGGGCACTTGGGACAGACGAATTTTGCAGGGTAGATTTATTAAGAAGGATGAGATAAATACATAAGTATATGATGTGTATTGTACATGCACAATCAATCGGAAATATGTAAAAGTGTATAATTGTAGTATTGGAAACAGTTTTTTGGGTTTGTTCAATTTCTCTCGTTCGGTGGCCTTTCTACGAGGGAACTGTTGCAACACGGTATGTTTGGTTGTTTGAATTGTTCCCAACGTATTTGTCAACTTAAAAAAATCATCACAAATCAAATTGCAAATGCAAAATGTTTGGGTCAAACCAAGTCTTCATGTTGTTCCAAATATGTTTTGTTGCATCCCCATTGCTGCTATTCGCCAACTGTTGATCATTTTATGGAATTTGTCACCAAACTCTGGTGATTCAAAAAACTGCAAAAACAAAATCAACAGGGATAAATTGACTGTACAATTGTACAACACCTGCTGTCCGGCCACCTGCTTTGGGTGTTCACTCGGCTTTGGCGGTTTTTGCGTCATGTCAAAGGCGGTGACGGCGGTGACGTTGTTCGGCAGCATCCGCTTGGAGCGTTTGGGCGAGCTGCCCATTGTGCAGAATTAATGTTGTTAGTTGATACTTCGACACCACAGTACCATGGAAATGTTGCAGAACTCCACAAAATTGGGGATCTTACCAGCACAACGAGGGTCAATGAAGTACATATTACATAGTATGCAAATTAAAGGAACGAAAACTGACTTGCCCGAAAAACAAATAAGGATCCAACCAATAGAACACGGAAATATTTTTGTCAAACATTGGATCTGACAGAGGGTGGTTCTGGGTCTGGGTTACATCGGAAGGCTGGATGCTGATGTGGTACGTTTTTTTGGGTGTCACAAAGAAAATTCACCAACAGCAAGGCAAATTCCAAATTACATTTTGATGATTTGGAAAATTGATCAATAAATAGCAACATGGAAGTTCCAAAAGTTGCCATCATTGCACTATTTATGATTACTTGTTGGAAATTGTTCCAAGATATTGGTCATTTTTTACCACATAATGTCAACACATCCAAAGGTTCCACCCGGCCCCAGTGTCTATTTATTTGGGGGTGCTACAACCAACTGGTTGCTATTTTGGGCATGAAGCAAGTGCGAGAACCAGCCCCTAGTGTCTGAAATTCAATATTTTTTTGGTGTGGGGTGTGGGTGGGTCCCCTCTTTCACATGTATTTTCCATGGCTAGGCTACAACGTTGAGCCATCATGGGCAACAAGCCTGCTGTGGTGTCTCTGTGTAAGGCGCGGGTCTAAGGCACGAGGCACGTCTTTTGCCAAGGCGCGCGGTAAAACGGTAAAACCGTAAAATGGTAAATTCCATTGTTCCCGAGAAACGTCCGTAAAACGGTAAATTCGTAAATTTACGATCTGAGCGTGCCGCTTTCGGAGCGTAAAACCGTAAATTTGGCAAATTTGCAAAATTTACCACAAACAAATTTTACCGTAAAACCGTAAATTGGTAAATTTGGTAAATTGGTAAAATTAGATTAACATTTACAGATTTACCGACTTACCGAATTTACCTTTGCCCGGACACAGCAAAATTTACCACTTTACCGATTTACCCCATTTACCATGGCCTTAAGAGCGGTGAAATTTACCAGTTTACCGATTTACCAAATTTACCGCATGAAACCGAAGTCAAGCCGCTAAATTGGTAAATTCATGTTCTGTGTGCAAAGCGTGGGCAGGAAAAGGTAGTAAAGCCGTAAAAGCGTAAAACCGTAAAGAAGGTGTGGAAGCGAAGGAAACCAAAGTAAAACCGTAAACTTGTAAATTTATGTTTTTTCGTGGACAATGTGAACAGGAGAAGACCGCAAAAGCGTAAAATGGTAAATGCGTAAAGGCGTAATGTATCAATGTACTGGAGCGTGAAGAGGAAGAGGCGGTAAAACCGTAAAACGGTAAATTCGTAAATTTACGATCTGAGCGTGCCGCTTTCGGAGCGTAAAACCGTAAATTTGGCAAATTTGCAAAATTTACCACAAACAAATTTTACCGTAAAACCGTAAATTGGTAAATTTGGTAAATTGGTAAAATTAGATTAACATTTACAGATTTACCGACTTACCGAATTTACCTTTGCCCGGACACAGCAAAATTTACCACTTTACCGATTTACCCCATTTACCATGGCCTTAAGAGCGGTGAAATTTACCAGTTTACCGATTTACCAAATTTACCGCATGAAACCGAAGTCAAGCCGCTAAATTGATAAATTCATGTTCTGTGTGCAAAGCGTGGGCAGGAAAAGGTAGTAAAGCCGTAAAAGCGTAAAACCGTAAAGGAGGTGTGGAAGCGAAGGAAACCAAAGTAAAACCGTAAACTTGTAAATTTATGTTTTTTCGTGGACAATGTGAACAGGAGAAGACCGCAAAAGCGTAAAATGGTAAATGCGTAAAGGCGTAATGTATCAATGTACTGGAGCGTGAAGAGGAAGAGGCGGTAAAACCGTAAAACGGTAAATTCGTACAGTTGTATCATGATAAAACAAAATCAAAATTTACAGATTTACCGATTTACCGCAGTTACCTTTGCCCGGGCACAGCAAAATTTACCACTTTACCGATTTACCCAATTTACCATGGCCCGAAGAGCGGCGAAATTTACCAATTTACCGATAAACCAAATTTACCATTGCACGGAGAGCGTTCTCTCCTTAGCATCATGCCTTGCACAGTGACGGCTTAGCAAGCCTGTCTTCGTCAAAAACTCTTTGCGAATATCCAATATTGAATGTTTGTGCCCCCACCTGACCCAAAATCATCAAAATCAGCTGTGATATTCATGCGGTGTTTTTGCGGTGTTTTTGCAAAAAGTTCCATTTTTTTTTGAAGTAAAAAACGTCTGACGATACTCCGTGAGTGATACTTTTTTATTTGTGCTGTGACTGCACGTGAGTGACCTCAACTGTACCATCGCAGCTGGGTTGCACAGGCGTAAATATGCAACACCCCGCCTTGATATAGGCATTTGCCTAATATCACTTCTATTTACTCCACAGGACTGTGCAAAGTCCAAAATCTCTCATCTATTGGAGTACTGTGCTTGGTGCCATCACCCAGCTGATTTGCTGGCATGACGACTGGTTCCATTGGCACGTGCCACGTTCAGAATTTTTGCTGGTTTCCATCTTCTGAGTCATTAAGAGGTCCATAGTGCAAGCGTGACCAGTATTCAGGGTCAGACACCCTGCACATCTCATCTTTGAGATACCTCCTGCATCTTTCACTTTCCGTCTCTCCAAGTCCATCCATGCTATCATCATCATCATCGTCATCATCATCATCATCACCATCAAACTCATCATCACCATCATCATCATGGTTTGAAACATCCATTGGTGCTTGCTCTGGGTTTCGAAGGGTCTCACCAAATGATCTCAAAGGATCACGTCCAGACTCCCATGTGCCATACTCCAGTCCATGGTGAAGTGAATCCTCATCAGAGCTCAACTCATTGTCTCCTGTGAAAGACTCCTCCATCCCCAGCCCTTCAGCAGCAGACGAACCAGGTGGGTGGGCCACGAGAGTTGAAAGCCATCGCTTTCCTTGGGTGTATTTCAGTATCCTTCCATGGTTGGAATCAGGTTCAGGACAAACGTCACCACTCCTTCCAGCATGGGCTCAAGTTCATGGGTCGCATGAGGGTTTCAGAGGGCACCAAACCTGTCACCTGAGGTTTTTCCATATGCCACGGGCTGCCATGAAGCATCCACCAACTGTACAAGCCGCACAGCAGAGTCCATGAGACCAGAACCACAGTTGGGAAACTTGGCATTTCCAACGAAGCCGCTGCAGCTACAGAGGAGGCCCGCACATGCCAAGCCTGATTCCAATTGATTTTCGGGCCATAAAATTGGAACCTCAATGCACACATGTGGTATCAACTGTCTCCGTTCTCTGGCTCCCATTATGCCATTGCGATGCAGCACATTCACCAATCCTTCGGTGTTCCCCGCTACTCCGCTACTCCGCGCTATGTTTTAATTCAAACACCCAATGTCATTGACACAATATCCAAACGATGACGGACTCAGAAAACCTTCAAAACTTAACCTTTCCACATCTTGTCCTCAGCAGACTCTTAGCCCATCCCGTTTAAAACTTGTGTGATACATCTGCCGAGTTATAGTCCAGTAGATAACATCTCCAATCTTCTCATCGACAGGCTCTTCGGGCGAATTCGAATTTCTTGCAGTTGTATTGCGGCCTTTGCAGCTTGACACACACAATGTCAAAAAGATACCAGATAGTAACCCAGTATATATGCGACCAATAAGAGCCAGTAGAGCTCTTCCATCTCTCAGGCGGCCATGGCTTGCGCAACCTGCCCACACACACAAATGGCTGCGGAAATCCAATCAAGCTCACGCTGAAATCCATTCCAAGCAGTCCACAAACATTCCAAAGACAGTCCATCAAGGGAAGGCCAAAAATCCACAAAAAAAAACAAGGTGGGCCAGAGAACCCAAAAGCAAGACGGCACACAGCACGCCTTTTCTTGAAAATCTTGGGGTGTGGCCAGCTGTGCTCTGCACGAAATCGACGTAAGATCTTTACTTAAACATCGTGCGCACTGATGGTATCAGGGGCCACGATTCACCACAGCATGCTGTGTCAGCTACGCCTACAGTCTTCTAGTCGCTATTTCTGTTAATGTAATTAACTCTATCCCATCTGTCTAGTCGCTATCTATTTCTGCGTTCTCGTTTAGTTTGCTTCGCCGCAGAGGGAGCGAGCACGAAGCGTGGACGGACAGAACGAAATGAAAATTAAACGACAGAGGGAGCTGACCAAAAGAGCATGAAAACGAAGATATATATGAAGGTGACAGATGGCAAATGATCATGAAAAATGAGACATGATAAAAGATTGGTAAAGACTTCTCTGTACAAAAGCTTCTTTGCATAAAAGCTTCTGCAAGTAAAAGCTTCTGTGGGCAAGAACTTCTCTGTGTAAAGGTTTTTGGTGTAAAAGCTCTTGTGTGTAAAATCTTCTGTGTAAAACGCGCTCTGTGTGTAAAAGTTTCTGTTTGCGAAAGTTTCTTTGCGTACCAGCTTCTGTCTGTAAAAGCTCCTCTGTGTTAAGGTTTTGTTTGTGTAAAGCTTCTGTGTGCAAAAGCTTCTCTGTGTAAAAGACTTCTCTGTGTCAAAGCCTCTGGGTGTACAAGCTTCTCTGTGTAAAAGTTCCTCTGTGTAAAAGCTCCTCTGTGAAAAAGCCGCTCTGTGTAAAAGGCTTCTGTGTGTAAAAGCCTCTGTGTGTGCAAGCTTCTCTGTGTCAAGACTTCTTTGTGTAAAGATTTCTCTGTGTAAAAACTACTCTGTGTAAACGCTTCCGTGTAAACTCTTTCCTGTGTAAACGACTCCGTGTGTAAAGACTTCTCTGTGTAAACCCGTCTGTGTGTAAAAGCTCCTTTGTTTAAAGGTTTTTTTTTGTTAAAAGCTTCTGTGTGTAAAACCTTCTGTGTGTAAAAGTTTCTGTGTGTAAAAGCTTCTGTGTGTAAAGGTTTCTGTGTGTAAAAGCTTCTGTGTATTAAAAAACC